TCACCCCTCTGCAGTGTTTATAGTTTCAGCTTTTCATTTTTATTAGTCTCTTTAATATGTTTTGTCCCAATGGTTTTTGTAGTTCTCCTTCCCTTTAGAATTTTAGTTATATGGTTACTTTTCTGTTTTTATGTTCACTCTTAGGTCATGTTAGTTTCTTCCCTGATAAGTCATTGCTTTCACCTGGTCCTCCCCCCACACTCCACACACCTGCAGCTCATCTGCCTCCCATTATGCCCCAGTGTATTTAAGCCCTGTCTTGTCTCTGTGTCTTGTCGGTCCATTGTCGTTGTCAGTGTTGTTTTGTCCGTCTCGAGTGTTCTCCTGATCTTGCTCATGAAAGAGCTTCTGTTTTGCCTTTTTGCCAGTGTTTGCCTTTGGATTTATGCCCAGCCTCCTAAAAATAAAGGATTTTTACTTCATATCCACTTCTGCCTCGTGTCAACCTGGGTTACTGCATTTTGGGTCCAAACCATCCTCTCAACGTGACAAAACCGGGAGAAATCACCCGAAGACATGGTAATTGCCTCATGAGTGAATGAATGAAGCTTGAGCAAATTGTTGTTTTCCAGGTGCGCATGGTAAACATAATTTTAGTTGTTACTGCAATTGGCTAAAGATAAAATATGGTAGCCATTGCAGTGCTACCTGCACGTCCTCCAATCAGCTAAAAATATTCTACCAGATATCCCTCCCTCTTTCAGACAGTTTCTGCTGCAGAGATTCATGATCAAAATGTGTAGACTCGACACGGGGCGGGGCTACACATAGAGATCTGGCTGCTGCCAGGTGAGACAGTTTTGATCGATTTACTAGAAAAACCAGCAAATGAAACGTTTACCACTGATCTGGACATTTTCCATCCGCTCACACCACAAAAAATGCTGAAAGTGCATAATGCAGAGCTGTGGCGGCAACAAGTTGTCATCGGTGCTCCAGTCTTAGGTCTTTCATTTGGATCCAAACTGTTTATAATGCTGCTTTTCTCCACATACTGGTCCCCGTCGTCTTTATTTAATGTATCCCTGTATATTTTCCATCCTTTTTGGGATCACATGTTGTTTAACCATCGACATATATACGTGTTTAACACTTTACACCCAAATCAGCTTCTTCTCTGCAATTGTAATTTGTTTTCCCGGTTTGTTTACACTCATAAGGCCATCAACATGCCTGTGCACATACCAGAATGCTACGCCCTATTGTATTTTGTCTTCTTTTGTGTAACAGAAGCAGAAAGACGCCCAGCATCCATCTTTGCCAAGAACTGTTAGAAAAAGTATAGCTACATTTGGATTTATGGGGAAAATGTTTTATTTTGTGTTCAAATTATAACGTGAAATAAATATTTTATAGTAAATGTCATACATGACTCCTCACACAGCTGTTATGCTAATGTGCAGACACTCAAAGCTAGCTCTTGTCCTGGATACCCACTGATCAGCTTGTTGTTTTGCTACTAGATAAGGGATTTACTGCAGGGAACGATAGGGGAGGGCTTTTTTTCCTGGGGGGAATCCTCAGCTTCCAAAGCTCCACAATAAAAGCTCCAGGCTAGTCAGGCTGCTCTGCATTGCCCACCCCACCCCCTCCCTCATCCTGCTTCATCCCTTCTCCTTCTCTGCTAAAGATTCCTCTACACTGGGTGCCATGAAGCTGAAAGGCAAAAACCAGCAGATGGTGAAACACTTTCTCAGGGCATTTTAAAGCACTGTGTTAGTTAATGACATTATTTTACTGGCATTATCAGTTTTCATTTGCATTATTTGAATCTTAAGTAGCTAAATGAGTCACAGTTTTTAGACCTTTATACTAATGTGCACGCACAGTTTTTTCTATGCATTTGCTGCTTGACATCCTGAATAACTGCTTGTGCTGATGACCGACAGAAAGACCCAGAGAACCTCACTCTAAGCTTATTAGTGCTTCCTGGTCGCCCTCCAGTATATGGGCTTTGGTTACCACAGCAACCAGGCCTTAGATATTGCCCAGTCGGAGAGGCTTGTTGCCGTAGAATAAATATAAACACCGCCCTGTAATGGTGGAAGGCACTTGTTATGTAAAGCAGCTTACGCTACTTCTTGTTAGTTTAGTTTTTACAATGCAGCATTTAAAATCTTTCTGAAGGCAAAGATCAACACAGAAAATCCAAACTCTGATGTTCATTACCGGGCCTGCAGGAGTCAACAGGCGACAGTGCACTCCATCTTAAGTGCTGATGTGTGTTCACGCCCAGTCGAGCTGAGGGAAATCAAAAGGCACTGAAAGATTAAGAAGGTCAGGTTTTCAGCTCCTAGAGGGAGGAAGTGGGAAACCATTAACTGCTATAAAAAGCGAATAGATAAATTAGATACTTTATGTTCTTAAAAGGTCCAATCTGTAACGGTTTGGTATTTACTCACAGAGCTGTTGATTTATTTCTCTTTTACATTTGTTGGCAGTTGTCTTTTTTGGATGTACGATTTGCTGAAGTTGCAAAAAAGGCCCCCCAAAAAAACCCCACATGGAATACAGATTACAGAGCAGCCGGGGTTGCCTGCAGAGGGTCACCCCATGCAAACATTAGCCCCGAGTCATTTGAGAATGTGGAGATCATTTCACTGCAGCATTGTTCTAGCTCTAAAGTAGCAGCACTCAGACCTCATGAGAAGCTGGGCAGTCTGCCAGAACCACTTATCGTCCTGTCACCCATCTTTTGTGAACTTCACAGCTCAGCTGTACTGTACACCACACGTCCATGAGAGCTCTGAGGTTTGAGACCAACAGTGATCTCAGTCCAAGTCAATCTGTGGGTTTTTACCAGAAACCCGTTAATGGGTTCTAACGAAAGCATAAAATCAAATCATTAGCTCAAAAATCTAATTTATAAAATCCTAAATTCAAAGTTTGTAAGATTTTAAAGCTTCATTAAATGTATGCTCTACACACTGAGAGGATGAGCCAAATGTGTTTCATAATTTAATTAAAGGCTTGTGTTTTCTTAAGGTAGCTAATGCAAATGATCACACTGGTAAGTCTCCCTGGGCTGTTAAATTTTACATCAGCAGAAAAGCTGATGCATGTTTAATGATGGCCCAACAAAGAAATATCTCCACATATCTCTAAAATGTGCTGTTTATGTTTTAGATGGTGTAGTTTTTCCTGTTTCATTTTTGTTTGATAGCATGAATACAATTTGTTCCTTTGAAAGGAAAAAGTTAAATGTCTAGTCTGTTTATAGTTATTAATCAGCTATTAAGCTATTAGGAGCTGCTTTTAATGCCTGAACAAAATATAACAGACAACTACTCTCCTGCTCCATAAACATGTAAAACACAAACAACAATTAATTGTGATTTTCTGGTGGATCTGTGGAAGTGAGGCCAAAATGAGGGTATTGAGATGATGTTGATAAAATAAATAAAATTAAAAAGAATATTGTTCAGCATACTGTACATCTTTGCCATATCTGTTAGCATAAAAGCAAGTTGAAAACTTAAAACTATAGATTGTATTCAGCTTAAATTGACTATTAGTAATATATGTAATTCAGTCAGGATTAGATGAGAAGTCAGGAAACTACAGGCAGCGCTCGGATAAGAGGCAAGTTGTGTTCAAAGCAATCTGGAATAGGTCAAAGTTCAGGTACTGTTCTAATGCTTAGGTTTTCCATCCATCCTGGTGTTAAGAATCCCATCCAAAAATAGATGACGAGTTCATTTGTAAAGATGCATATAAGCCATGTTTGATCACAACCACTAAACTTTATTTTCACTGCAATCCATCCATCCATCCATCCATCCATCCATCCATCCATCCATCCATTTTCTTCCGCTTATCCAGAGTCGGGTCGCGGTGGCTGTAGCCTAAGTTGAGAGGCCCAGACTTCCCTCTCCCCAGCCACTTGTGCCAGCTTTTCCGGAGAAATCCCAAGGCGTTCCCTGGCCAGGTGAGAGACACAGTCCCTCCAATGTGTCCTGGGTCTACCTTTAGGCCTCCTCCCAGTTGGACGTGCTTATTGATCTTGTGCTCCAGCTTTCCCTCGCTCGTGAACAAGACTCTGAGATACTTAAACTCCTCCACTTGGGGCAGGACCTCATCCCTGACCCGGAGAAGGCATTCTACCCTTTTCCGAATCAAGACCATGGTCTCAGATTTAGAGGAGCTGATTCTCATCCCAGGAATCAAGTAAATAATTAAAATGCATTTTTTTAAATAAACTGATTAAAATTGTAATCTATCCATGCTGTAAGGTGTTTAGAATCAAGGTTCTCAAACTACATAGCAAATTATCCATTTAATGGTACTCAGAATAAACGATAGTTTTAACTGTTTATGTTAAAGAGCAAGTTCACTGGGAAACTTTTTTTTAAATTGTTATCTCTGAAATATGACCGGCCACTCCTGCAAACCTGCAACCTTCTGTCATTGAAGCAATAGAGCTACCATGCAGTTAGCGTGTGTATATCAGGTAAATGTGTGTGAAAAGCTGAAGCACAAAAACACAGGTTTCTGATGTCTGGGCCAATAGAGGGTTTTTTGAGAGCTTGCATTTTTCTGAAGTGTTCTTATTATAAGCACTGGCTTAGAAGACTGGCTGTCGTTAATATCTTTCTAAAAGTGTGGCAGTGCTAAAATATTTTTTAATACTGTAAATTGATTAATAAACATCCAGTTTTCAGGGTTACCTGTGTTGGTGTCTTCAGTTAAGAATTAACTAAATTTAAATATTATAAGCTAACAAATGTCATATTTATTGCAGGAAAGATGTGTACTCTGTGTCTGGAACAGGTAGTTTGTAAAAATAGTAACAATGATGCTAAACTGATAAAAAGAAGAGCAAAGGGAAGCTCTGTGTATGATACAATGCTGCCACCTCCTGTTAGAAACAGGCATAGCTCATTTATGATAACAGGCACTCCTGACATTAAGTAATCAAAAACGGAGATCTTCAGTGCAGATTATATTTAACTTCAACCAAAGAGACGAGCTGTGCATGAGCAGCCATGGAAACACATTGAATCAGTGACACATTTATATTTTAATGCCACATTAAAATGAATATTATCCACTCACTTCTCTTTAATAATCGAGCAGCGAGTGTCTGACAGGCTGATTCACTTTTATTTCCTTGAAGGAATCAGATGTTCCAGTTCTTGTGGACGAATCTGTTAAAGGATAAAACAAAAAAAAATGGGAATAAATATCACTCAGCTGTAGACGTACTTTCTACAAAGTGAACTAAATGTTCTATTAGTAATGATTTTGTGCCTAAAGGCAAAAGATGGCAGGTAGAGATTTCTTTACTGATTTAGTTGAGACAAAAAGGACAATTAAATTTTCAGATATTTCACACAAGTAGACCTTGTGAGGATCATTTGCTGAGCTAAGAGTCTAAAGTCACAGCTGAGATGGGAGGAAAATGTCACTGACCGCTTCTTTTATGGGATTACTTTGGAATTAAAATCACTTCTGAGACTCAGACTATTCTGACCTGATTCAAGAGCAGCACCTTTTATATCGTAACTCCAGTTCAAAAGACCTTAGGTCACATGGGGAGCCTAAGCTCCACCCCTTTCCAGTTGGCTCACGGGTCTCCGGAACAAAGAGAAAATGAACTTAAGTCAACGCCGAGGCTATGAAAGCTATTTTCTAAACCTCTTAGCCTTACGTCCAGAATCACATATATGTTGTAATTCAATTTAAATGATAAGTAATGATGTGTTTCAACTACGCCAGTCATGTAATGTGAGTTTTATCAGCTTGTAAAAATTTGTAATTATCATGACTATAAATCAGACGTCAGTATGTCGCATAGATGACGTCACCACAGAATCTCTGACCTAGCGAAGCTGCTACTTAGGACAAGGTCAGATTTATGGTTCTTTCCTTCTGACGGAAGGATTTGAAGTTCGCTGAACGTACCGCCATTTTACCTCTCCTCTTCTCCGTGTCTGGTTCGATGATGTCACTTTGGGGATGCACATTTGTAGTCCTGGATGCATTTTCTCACGAAACCTAAAATAGCGTTTCCCCCCCTTTCGAAAAAAAAAGCATGTTCTGGCATTAAAATGTGTCTTTAAAATTCCCAGAAATCATATGTGAAATCCATGGCACATAACACATGGAATTAGAAAATAGTGTTTTTAGCCCCGTTGATTTCATTCTTTTTTTTTCGTTCTTCCGGGGAACCATGGGCCGGAAGTAGATGGGCATGACTTAGGCTCCCAATAATGCTGCCTTCCAGATGATGCATATTTTAAAAACTGAGAAAAAAACCAAAAGTCGCTGCTTACTGGAACCCGTCTTTCCAGATGAAGGAATTCTACAGTACTCCTCATCCTGGCTGGACCCTTTAGGGAGTTCGGCTGCCAACTGATTTCGATTACGCTTAACTTGAAAACGTTCTGCAAGCAAAACAAAACTTTAAAGCAGTTCGCATTATTTGATCCCTAAATGTAAATATTTTATGTTTACAATCCCTGTTTTGTGATTATAACACAATGTCTTTTGAAAACATTCGATAAGACAGTTTGCGTCTAAATCACCTGGATTTAGAATCTTTTCGTCAGCTTTGAGCTGCAGGTGTCGTCTGAGGATGACTTGTGCCTTTCTCTGATTTGTGCATATGTCGGGCTCGGCTGTGATCTCTGTAGCTGTCAGGTTGTTCTTGATGGCCTTTGAGGCCGTGGAGCGAGCCACAGAGGGCAGCTGCTTCTGGTACTCTTCATCGCTGAAATGCACCTCTCGACACCGAACATCAGCAGCTCTGACAAAAAGAGGCTTTGAAATGTTCATCTGCCTAGAAGACTCTGCTATCATTGTTACATTTTAGGTTTCACTTTACTGTAATATGCAAAAGTTTTATGCTTTTGATTGCTCCAAATCTGATCTTTCATTCTGATCTGGATTAAAGTTTTAATACTTTTAAAGTGTTCCTCATTTTACATTTTACTGAGATATAAGGAACATTTTACCTTTGATTAGTTAAGATGGTGTGCGCCTCCTGCACCAGCAGCTCCGCTGCTCCTGGTTTACAGTGGATTGTTCCATCAATGGCCTCTTTCAATAGATGCAGATTATGCTTCTTCATAAACTGAAATAAAAACACTTTAAGCAAAGGCTTAAAATTGATGCAGTCCATACTTTGAACCCAATAAAAAATATTAAAACAAATTAATGAGCCTCCATTCCAATGAGGGCTGGAGGGAAGTGTGTGTGTGTGTGTGTGTGTGTGTGTGTGTGTGTGTGTGTGTGTGTGTGTGTGTGTGTGTGTGTGTGTGTGTGTGTGTGTGTGTGTGTGTGTGTGTGTGTGTGTGTGTGTGTGTGTGTGTGTGTGTGTGTGTGTGTGTGTGTGTGTGTGTGTGTGTGTGTGTGTGTGTGTGTGTGTCATGGTTGAACATCATTCCAACATTTGCTTTGGACTCCAATTACAATCACAAGTCATCTGAACACACACAACAGGATATGTTTGCAGGAATGTGTGTGTTTGGATATTTGCCCCCTTTACCTGTTGTATCTGGCTCCAGTTCTTCTGCTTGGCAGACAATGATACTCCTTTGTCATATAAATTCAATGAAATATCTCGAGGATAATAGTGAGAAAATATCTCTGCCAAAAGGTACCCATTGGACAAATCTCTGAAAGTTAAAAAAAAAATCTGTTTTCAGCCTGAAAAAACAGATTATTTTTCAGAGGCAAAACGCCAGATGTTTGGTAATCTGTCAGATTGATCTTGAACACTCTCTCGCATAACAGATTACTTCACAAGCGACCGTTTTTAAATGAGGACAAGGTACTTTGATACCTGCTGTGTGTTAAAAAGTCACAACTTGTTCTTATTTTCTTAGATATGAAAATACAACAAAATTTTTTTTTTGCTAAAAATAGCATTTCAGCCCCAATAATGTAGTTTCCAATCATTCATTTCCAATCAAATTGCCCACTGTCCACCAGAGTATTCTCTGAAAAGTACGCCACAGTGAGGTCCAAGTGTCGATATTAGCTAAGCCGTTTATGATGTGGTCCAGATGCCAAAAGATTATGCCGAAAATATCTGAGTGGATATTCCACTCTTAAGAGATATTAGTCAGTTTGTGTACTCCCCAGAGTTAGGTAAATGAGAAAAAGCCTTTTGTAAGCAGTCCAATCATCTGGCAGTATTCTGTTTGCTTTAGCTTAGCATAAACAATATAAGTGAACGGTAACAGATAGAATTTAGTGTGAGATTTTTAGTGTGTTGTGACTAGCTTTTTTCATTGTAGTTCCCTGGTGTGACCTGCTCCTCTCTTTAAGATGTTATCTCATTATTTTGATATAGTATCTCATAATGAGATACTATCTCTAATTTTGACTAGGCTATCTAATAATTATGAGATTTTTTTAAATTATTTATTTTTATGAGTAGCAGGAATGGGCTTCCATACAGCAGACATGAAACGAAAATTTAAAATATCATCTAAAACTAATAAAGACACTTTTAAAGAGTTAAAAAAAAGTTTGACTCACTGATAACGTAATATAAATATAAACCTATGACACAATTAGAATGCTGTGTGCTGTTAACTATATTTGCATTGCTAAATGCATGTCAATGACGTAATTATCCATCATTGATCATTTAGAGCACTAGACTTGATAAAATAACAGCAAATAGGTCAAAAACATTGGTGCACATTTCTACATGTCTTGTACATCTTTAGATTTTTACCTGCGAACATTCTTTGGGTAAACTGACAGCGCCAGGCTTTGGAGCCACTTCACTACATCTCTCGAGAGTGCTGTCTGTTCGGAGCACAGCGCATAATTCATTTTGTTTTAGCTTAAAGGATGAAAGTGTGTCTCTCTTTGTCGCAGACTGAATCTACTGAATTCCTGGAATCATTTCCCACGCTGTGAAAGACCCCGCTGCCTCCTCCGGGGTAATTAACTAGCTGTTAGCGCCTAATTCTCCTAACCTTTCCCACCGGCCTCCTCTTGTTTGTGTTTCCATGGCAACGGCTGCCCCCTCTGATCGGTTTGGAGTTGCGTAAAGGAATCTACTGCCCTCTAGAGGATAGAACCGGCGCTTTGGTTTTTATTTGGTTTGGAAATACCGAGCTTTAATGTCTGCCCTCTGATTTTTTAATAAAACAATGCTGCTGGAAGGTAATAGTGAAAAAGTGATGGCGGATCTGACCTTAATTAACTGAAGAATGCGTTTTCAACTCATCCTGTAGCCTGAACGCTTCGCTGTACGAATTTGCATTTGCTAAAGCTGCATGTCTGAAGTAGATGTAAGGAAATATATCCTCTGTGCAGTGTGCAACAACAAATCTTAAACACTCACATTTAAAACAAATTTTAGTCATCAAATACATTGTTGTGTGTGTATTTCTCATTGATTTTGATATAAAATAATCCTGTTTCTCTGATGTTACTGTATCCCCTATTTTTGTTTTTCTACCATAAACCTGAGGATTGCTGGCAGCTGTTGATAGTTGCATCCTCCTTCACATTCACCCAGGTCCTAACATAATGCACATATCTGCAGATCAAGATCAGAGACAGCAAGGAGGGATACAGGAAGAAGCTGGAGAACAAACTACAGAGGAACAATATCAGAGATGTCTGGTCAGGGATGAAGAAGATCACAGGCTTCAAGCAGAGGAAGGATTGCACAGATGGCAGCCTGGATACAGCCAATGAACTGAACAAGTTCTTCAATAGGTTCAGTTCAGGAACAAACCCGGCATCCTTCTCGCCTGTCCCCAGCCAATCAGACATCCCATCCTCCTCTGATCCAACATTTTCCTGTCACACGCCAGCTCTTTTGTCCTCTAACGCAGTCATGGACTCTTCTGGTTCTATAAATCCATCTTCAACCAAGTCAGGAGATGCTGCTGCCCCAGTTACCTCCCCCTCCCACCTATCTGTCTCTAGAAGTCAGGTGAAGAGGCAGCTGGAGAGACTGAACAGGAACAAGGCTGCAGGTCCAGATGGTGTCAGCCCCAGAGTACTGAAGGCCTGTGCAGAGCAGCTCTGTGGGATTCTGCAGCACCTCTTCAACCTCAGCCTGGCCCAGGAGAAGGTTCCAGTCCTGTGGAAGACATCCTGCCTTGTTCCAGTTCCAAAGAAAACTCGCCCATCAGTCAATGACGACTACAGACCGTTGCCCTGACATCCCACATCATGAAGGTCCTGGAGAGACTCATGTTGGTCCACCTGAATAAGCAAACTAGAACATATCAGGACCCGCTGCAGTTTGCTTATCGCCATGGAGTTGGAGTTGAAGATGCCATCATCCAGCTGCTTCAACCAACCCACTGTCATCTGGACAAAGCAGGCAGCACTGTGAGGGTCATGTTCTTTGATTTCTTCAGTGCATTTAACACAATTCAACCTGATGTACTTTGCCAGAAACTCCAGAAGACACAGGTGGGGGCCTCAACTATCGCCTGGATTAAAGACTACCTGACAAACAGACCACAGTTTGTGAGGCTGAAGAACTGCATGTCAAACCAGGCAATCAGTAACATTGGAGCACCACAGGGGACTGTACTCTCACCATTCCTTTTCACCCTGTACACCTCAGACTTCCAGTACAAGTCAGAGACCTGTCATCTACAGAAATACTCAGATGACTGCAGTTGTCGGGTGTATCAGAGATGGACAGGAAGCTGAGTACAGAGAGCTGGTGGAGCGCTTTGTGGCATGGTGTGGAAACAATCATCTGACCTTGAACGTGAACAAAACAAAGGAGATGATTTTAGACTTCAGAAGAAACAGGGTGGAGTCAAACACTGTTTCCATCATGGGAGAAGAAGTGGAGGTGGTTGAGGAATACAAATACCTTGGTGTTCACCTGGACAACAGACTGGACTGGAGAAAGAACAGCAAAGCCGTTTACAAGAAGGGATACAGCAGACTGCACTTCTTGAGGACGCTTAGGTCCTTCAATGTCTGTAGCAAGATGCTGCAGATCTTCTACAAGTCTGTTGTTGAGAGTGTCATCTCTTCAGCCATCGTCTGTTGGGGTAGCAGCATCAGAAGCAGAGACCTGAAAAGGCTCAACAGCCTAATAAAAAAGGCTGGTTCTGTTCTGGGGACGACTGTGGAACCACTGGAGGAGATAATGCAAAGAAGGATTCTCCAGAGAACCAAGAAAATGATGGACAACCCTGAGCATTCTCTTCACAAGACTTTCCGACAACGGAAGAGTGTCTTCAGTCAGAGGCTTCTTCAGTTTCGCTGCAACACTGACCGCTACTGGAGATCCTTCCTGCCAACAGCCATTGTAATATACAATAACTCTTTGATGACTTGATTATTATTATTATCCTGAGCTACTACAGCAATCAATTTCCCTCTGGGATTAATAAAGTATTTTTGAATTGAATTGAATTGAATGAGATTCAGAGCAGCTCTGTGCAGCTGCATACTGCCAGCTACTCTGTTTCTGCTGTAGCTAAATGAAATGAATCACTCTGACTGCATTTAGCCTAATACTACAGGTAAAAATGGGGTTGTGGTGTTGATATGTATTTTCAGTGAGATAAATTTGACTTTCAAATTCCATTTAGGTGCATTGTTTATTGGTTCTGCAAGTCACTGATACTGCAAGTAGTTCTTTATCCTGTTGGGGAGGGGGAGATGTGAAAGCAGGTGGAGTCTGTCACGGCCAACGCAGTTTCTGATGCAATTCCGACACAACTGGCTCAGGAATCGTGGTGTAGCTGTGAAGAAAGACAGATTCAAACCATACAAAAGTAATGAGAACTTTAACCAAGATATGAGAAACAAATCTAAAATTGTCTATCTTTTCAATTGCAATCTGAATTGGAGAGTTTAGATGTAGCATATACATCCCAGCAGAGTGAACTGATACCTTCATAAAGCAGCAGAAAGCCCTCTGTTAGACTGCTGGGTGGAGCTACATCTACTGGCCTCTGGAACTCAGTGTTTCTGGCATTAATGTCTGCACCAAAGTCCAGCAGCAGCTTCGCCACCGCTGTGCAGTCTTTTTCTGCTGCTGCGTGTAAAGGTGAATCCAGGGATCTGCCTTTCTGCACGTTTGCACCTGCACAAAACTCAGTTTCATTATCAATTCTAGAAACATCCAATGTCATGCACAGCTTTTATTTTCTTCGTCTTTGTCTTCGTCTTCGTCTTCCTCCGCTTATCCGGGTCCGGGTCGCGGGGGCAGCATCCCAATTAGGGAGCTCCAGGCCGTCCTCTCCCCGGCCTTGTCCACCAGCTCCTCCGGCAGGACCCCAAGGCGTTCCCGGACCAGATTGGAGATGTAACCTTTCCAACGTGTCCTGGGTCGACCCGGGGGCCTTCTGCCGGCAGGACATGCCCGAAACACCTCCCCAGGGAGGCGTCCAGGAGGCATCCTGACCAGATGCCCAAACCACCTCAACTGGCTCCTTTCGATCCGGAGGAGCAGCGGTTCTACTCCGAGTCCCTCCCGAATGTCCGAGCTCCTCACCCTATCTCTAAGGCTGAGCCCGGCCACCCTACGGAGGAAACTCATTTCGGCCGCTTGTATCCGCGATCTCGTTCTTTCGGTCATTACCCAAAGCTCATGACCATAGGTGAAGATTGGGACGTAGATCGACCGGTAAATCGAGAGCCTGGCTTTCTGGCTCAGCTCCCTCTTCCCCACGACAGATCGGCTCAGCGTCCGCATCACTGCAGACGCCGAACCAATCCGCCTGTCGATCTCCCGATCCCTCCTACCCTCACTCGTGAACAAGACCCCGAGATACTTAAACTCCTCCACTTGAGGTAGGACCTCTCTCCTGACCCAGAGTTGGCAAGCCACCCTTTTCCGGTCGAGAACCATGGTCTCAGATTTGGAGGTGCTGATCCTCATCCCAGCCGCTTCACATTCGGCCGCGAACCTACCCAGCAAGAGCTGAAGGTCAGAGCTGGATGAAGCTAGGAGGACCACATCATCCGCAAAAAGCAGAGACGAGATTCTCCTGCCATATTATTTTCTTATCCAGTAAATACGTTTCAGTCCCGAAGATACTTGGTTTTATAGTTACAACCAACGCATCTTTTTTTCATCTTTCAAATAAATTATTTTCATCAACCTTGAAATTTTATTAACTTCTCACGTTTAATCAAAGAGAAAAAGTTTAAGACTGATTACAGTTCACAGATTTTGGGTTCAATCAGGTGGCAACATGTGTTCTGCTTTCATTGTATAACTTGTTTGGTTGGAAAAGCAAAATCAATCAAGAAATTATCAAACCAGCTTTTTTTTTCTTCATAAATGTCTTATTTGATTGTTACTTATCAGCAGACAGAAAGATATTTCACAATGTCCGATCCAAGCTTTTGTTGAGAGGCTTTAATATTTTTTATAATCGTACAGATAAGAGTGTTTGTGTAGTTGTCGTTTTCTTACTTTTGTCCATGCATTTGAACAAAAATAACGGGAATGCAAAGACCCACACAGTGCTGCGAGCTGACCTTCCCTCAAAAGCTTCCTGGCACACTCCAGCTCTTGGCAAATGCAGGCAGTGTAAAGCGCTGTTCCCAGGTGAGGAATGTCCATGTCCACATCAGCCCCCCAAGTTACCAGAGCCTCCACACAGCCATAATGACCTGAAAGTAATGGAGCATGGAGACGGCAATCAGTAAGTGACAATGTGAGATAATTCTCCAAGCTGTCCACGGGTCACGTTAGGATTTATTTTTAAAGCTGTTCTTCACCCTGAAAGGGCATTGTAGCAAAGCTAATGACACAAATGCAGGTCAAAAGATCGTATTAAGTTATTAATAGGACAATATTGATTTGGGAAAATATGAAATGTTGATGTTGCCAAAGCCTCAGAATTAGATTTTTTTTTTTAAAACAATGATGTACTGCAACATAATTCATGACCTTCTAAAGAAAAATTTGGACTCTGGCACTAGCTAAAGGCTCACCTTGAAGTGCACAATATATTTAGTCTTGTTTTACCTTTGCTGGTTGCTTCATGTATGGGTGAGGGTTGGTGGACAAGACTCTGGGGTTTTGCTCCATTTTCCAAAAGGATTTCAGTGCATGCCACACTGCCCACTGCACAGGCATTGAACAGAGGGGTGACTCCATCAATTGTGGAAGCATTGACCTGTAAAATCGTGCTCTTCGTTAATGTTATTTTTAGCTTTTGTTTAACTATGCAAGTTGACTAATAGCAACAGCCAGGGGGAACAACTGAAGAGAACCAACAATGTAATCTCTGTGTAGATGGAGAGTGCTACTTTGCTCATTTGTTATCCCTCCTAGAGTTTTCCATCCATGAAAATTATATTTGACCTTCACAACAGTAAAAATAAAAATCTTCAGGCCAGAATGTGACTTACATTTGCTCCTGCATCAATGAGAGCTCTGGCACAAGCAACATGGTTGCCAAGACAGGTCTCGTGAAGGGGTGTCACATGATCTATGGTCATAACATTCACGCTGTGACCCTGGAAACAAAATGCAGGGAGCATTAAAGACGTCAAACAACAGATGCCCTTTATCGACCTCTGCTGGTTAGAAAAGCAGGAATTACAAGAACATTACTGTTGCTCATCTCCACTAAACAAACCCATCATCCTCAGTCAGGGTTTTAAGTCTTTTGCAAGCAGAACTGCAAAGCCATGTTTCAACAGCAGCAATTAATAAGCCTACTTAATCAACTGAAGATCAAACTGGAAGCTGGCACAGAGCCAACCAATTACCATGTGAAACTCTAATGCTGTCACTGCTTTGTCACATCTCTGACTGACTTACAGCAAGGCGTCATTGGCTTTGCCTACAGTCCTCCATCTGTGAGCACCGCAAGCAAAGCGGAAATTGCAGCTTTTACTGCATTTGTTGCAAACATCTCAACGATGTCATTTTCTTTGAGCTAAATTCAACTTTAAGCACTAAAGCAGGTGGAGGTGAAACAAGTCAATTCAATTCAAGTTTATTTATATAGCGCCAAATCACGACAAGAGTTGTCTCAAGGCACTTCACACAGTAAACATTCCAATACAGGTCAGTTCATCAGTAAAAAGTTACCTATATAAAGAACCCAGCAAATAGCATTTACACACTTTACAGCAATCCTCATACTAAGATAGCATGCAACAACAGTGGAGAGGAAAACTCCCTTTTAACTGCCGTGGAACTGCTGCTGTAGAGGCAGATGACGTGTCGTTCATTACCTGATCCATCTGAACTCAGCCAAGTGTTTACTTTTGTTGATTTATGTGCTATGCGTACGCGCGTGTGTGTACCTGGGAAATGGGCTGCTTTTTTACTCGCTTTTATATGGGTGAGAAAGGGATGGAACATAGGTTTTATGGGGTCATTTTTTATATGTAAAGCACTTTGAGTTGCTTCATTTGTATGAAAAGTGCTATATAAATACATTTTCGATTGAATTTTCATTGATTGAACAGGAAGAAACCTCACACACACACACACACACACACACACACACACACACACACACACACACACACACACACACACACACACACACACACACACACACACACAACATATACCAAGTAGTGTTTCTATGGTTACATTGTGATTTCTTAGTAAATACTCTATTTAGTGAGAGATAAACTTTATTGCATTTATTCTAGTGGATCTATAATTAAACAGGTAAACTAGTAGTAGCACATTCCATGTCAACGAGAGTAAAGTGTTATTATCAGGAGAGGGAGAATGTTTAAGTGGTTAGCAGCAGTGTGCTAGACGATGGCCCCCTCCATGAGGCCACCACAGCTCAGCAGAACACCATTGTAGCTTCTTCTGGGGAGAAAAACACTTAGAGAGAAAATAAAGTTAACAGATGAAATTGCAGAAAATAGTACAGTTAAAGAGCAAATTGTAGAAGAAAGTAGTCAAGTGTGGGAAGTGGTCAGTGTATCCTCCAGCAGTCTAAGCCTATAGCAGCATAACTACAGAGATAACTCTGGATAACCTAGCCTTTTTAGATGGAGGCATGTTGGAGGCAGGGCAAGGAGAGTCGTCTTTACCGACTGTACACTCCACCTCCCTCTACTCCTCAACTCCGGTTTTCTTTCTCTACTCATCCTTCTTGATCTTAGTTCAGCTTTCGACACCATCTCTCACTCAACCCTTCTTAACCGGCTAGCTTCCCTCGGTATCACTCATACTGCTCTCGCCTGGTTCTCCTCCTATCTCACTGGCCGATTTCAGTCTGTTCAATTAAAATCCTTTTCTTCTCACCCTGTTGCTGTTTCTGCCGGTGTTCCCCAGGGCTCTGTCCTTGGACCTCTCTTATTTATCATCTACATTCTTCCACTTGGCCATATCTTTCGCAAATACAAGATAAATTTCCACTTCTATGCAGATGACACTCAAATCTATATCTCCTCTCAACCCGATGCTATCTTCCCCCCAGTCTCCCTATCCAGCTGTCTCCTTGAGATAAAATCATGGTTCTCTTCAAACTTCCTGAAACTCAACAGCAATAAAACCGAAATTCTACGCATAGGCAAACCCTCCACGCTGAACATATCCCCCAGCATATCAATTAACATAGATAATTCCTCCATCCTTCCTTCTCCCCATGTAAAGAGTCTTGGAGTCATCCTTGACAGCACTCAAAGCCCACATCAATAACATCATTCGCTCAGCCTACTTTCATTTACGCAATATCAACCGACTCCGTCCCTCTCTCACTCCTCATGCTACAGCCATCCTCGTACACAGCCTAGTCACTTCTAGGACTGACTACTGTAACTCTCTTCTTTTTGGTCTCCCCCATAAATCCCTCCATCGGCTCCTACTCCTCCAAAATGTTGCTGCACGGATCATCACTCGTACCCCCTATAGAGATCACATCAGCCCTGTTCTTCAGCATCTCCACTGGCTGCCTATTGAACGCAGAATCTCATTCAAAATCCTGCTTCTCACATACAAATGTATCCACTGTCTCGCCCCTCCTTACCTCTCCGATCTCATCCATGTTGCTGTCCCATCTCGCTCACTCAGGTCTTCCTCTGCCATCCACCTTGTGGTTCCTCCTGCTCGTCTCACCACCGTTGGAAACAGAGCTTTCAGTCGCTCTGCTCCTCGGCTCTGGAACTCACTTCCTCCTGACATCCGAAACACTGACACCCTCCTCTCATTCAAATCCAAACTCAAAACTCACCTATTCAACCTGGCTTACACTCTCTAGCCCACAAACTCTTTACTCTGACATTTACAGCATACTTTTAGTAATTTTATTGTTTACATGATTTTATTCTTATTTGTGTGTAAGTTTTATCATGTTTTGTGAGGTGACCTTGGGTCTTGAAAGGCGCCTATAAATTAAATGCATTATTATTATTATTATTATTAACCATCAGAAACAGAAGATGCATTTAGATCAGAATTGTCAAGTATTTTTTATGAATAGCATAAACCTAGACAAATCACTGGGAAACAGGCTGAGGAATATTTATTAACTGATTATTCAAAAGTTTAACATACAAAATGACGTTTACAGTATTGTGATAAAGGCCCCCCAAAGATTCACTTTATGCTTTTTGTTACTCATTGATGTTTTATATTGGCAAACTAATCCAACATCAGACCAATATACAATCAGAAAAAAAAACTTTAAAAAGTACAAGCCAACCAGTCTTTTGAGGAAAAGTCTCTCCGCCTGTGGTTAAATTATACATCAATGAGAACGCTGATTTCATGTTAACTAGACACATCCCAGCATGATTACTGCCCCTGCCTGAAGAAGACGTGTTTCAATAGAAGCTGTATGGCAGCATCAAAAGGACTAAAATATCTAAAAAAAATTAAAAACAGCTAAAACCCCCGAAAGGGCAGATTTTATGGATCAAAAAACTGAAGTCAGAGAAAAACTGGCATCTATAGGAGAGTTCCAAGGCCATGTCCTCTGCTGGCCAAAACACAAAGAATCAACAAGCAAACAGTCTTGATGATCTGATTGTAGTAACATCCTGCTGAGACAGAAAATCACACTTTTTGGAAAGTGTACACCCCCATCAAAAGAACATTCCAACAGTGTGATGCTCTGCTTCACTATTACAGGGTCTACACTTGCTGTATTCGATGGAACCACAAATTCCAATTTTTACTAGATTTTTTTTAAAAATAGGACATTCAAACTGGAAAACTCTCCGATGCGGTTAAAATAAAACAATGCTGCAAAGAACAGTGTGCCAGAATTACTCCACAGCAATGCTGGAGACTCATTACTAGTTACTGCCAGCATCTGATTGTTTTTGCAGCCAATGATGTTACAACCTGTTAATAGGTTTTGGAGCAATTACCTTCTCACGCAGGGCCAGGGTGGTTAGGAAAGCGTTTTTTCTTAGAATGAAAGCCTAAACTGCAATATGTATTTATTTAGGTTATTTTGTCTGATAATGAAATTTGTTTGCTGATCTGAGGCACTTAAATATGACAGTTGAAGCAAATAAAAAAGAAGTAACTGTAAGTAGACATATATCTAGCACAACATTAACCATTTAGTTCTTGTTGATGCTTCATTTAAACAACACTTTGCTTTTGAAACCAATTGTAATTTTGACCTAAATTAGAAATAAAGGTAACCTGCGACAAGAAGCTACCTTTAGACAAATGGAGCGGCAGGAAGAAGAAATCCCTACTTCGTCAACTCCTTCATCTCTTTATCAGGCAGAATCTCCAAAGGTACTGAATGCAATTTAACAGCTCAAGAGGTGGCAACAAAAGGCTCTGTGTGTGCAGATAAGGCGACATGCATTACTCTCCAGGGGATTGTGTTCTCTTCACCTGTAAAATGAGGGTCCTCAGGGCCAGGAGGCGGCCCTGACAGGCAGCGTCATGGAGGGGAGAGCGGTCTGCCCAGGATCCTGTGACGAGAATATGAATTTAGTACCAGCTCCTATTTTACCTGATTCTGTTATTCTGAGGGAAAGCAGCATAATAAACTTAAATTATGCACTGCATGGGAAATAACTCTTTAGTCTCAACGATTTCTGCAGTTAGGTGAGAAATTATGCTTTAAGTTTAGCAATAGATTGAAACCAATAGCTAACTCTAATTACATAGAAATTCACCAAAAATAAAAATAAAAGTGTTATTCTAAACAAACCCCCCACCACCCATCAAGCACACCTGAGTCAATGTCCAGAATAACAGCTGATGCGTTCCACACGTTATCATCATCATCATCATCATCATCATCATCATCATCATCATCATCATCATCATCATCATCTCCCGCCTCCATTTTACTAATAAATCATAGATAATAATCAGCTGAAATATAGATAACAAACACATTTCCTAGGGAAGCCATGCCTTTTTGTTATTCATGCAGCCTATTTTCCTAGACTGACATTAATTTGAAATCCAGACATAAAAAAAGCAGCTAGAAACATCAAACAGCCTTCTTCTACCAAGGAAGACCGTATCAACAGGACCGTGACTAATATCTTGAGTTTAGCTAATTAGTATTCCCTTTGAATGATAGCTGCAGACTATGCTGTTGTCATGTCTCTCTTGCCCCACAATGTGTCTTCGAACTGCTAGTGCCTGAAAATGTGGAGTGTTGTTTTGGTTGCTGAGAGCGTGTGACAGGGTGCACCGCATAGCTGGGAATGGAAACTAGGGCAGGGTGGGGGAGGGACGTGAATCATATCATGACTGTGTTCTATTAATACATGAGAGCTGCCGGGGCTGATGGAGACTTCATTTCAAATTGAATGTACACTTCATGATTTATAAGTGGCTATTAAGCATGAAATAACACAAAAGCGGGTTCGCATTCATTTTGGCATTTGAGTACAAGTGGAAATACAATTAATGGATTTTCTACTAACTGGATTAGGCATGCAGTATGAATAGCTCGTCTGTAAATACAGAAACCATGTGTGTAAACAATGACGTGAGTGTGGGTGTCCGTGTGTGTGCTTGACACCTGAATAAACTTACATTTGACCTTACACAGCTGTGGTCAAGTGTGTAATGGTGTATTCAAAAGACTCAAGTGTTTCAGTAAACATTTTTATATGCTTCACTTCACACAGAAAACAACAAAATACTGAAAAAAGAACAACATATGGGCTTTTAAATATATTTCACTCCTGAGTACTTACTGTGTTGTTGACCATAGTCGTAGAACTCTGCAGATATCCGGGCTGCTTCTTTACGGTTCCCACAAACTATATAGAAGTATGTTAGCAAGTTGAGAGAAATCTTAACAAAGAGCTTGAAGCAGAACAGCGCCAAGATGCTGAGATAAACATTGGACAACTGGACTGCGAAAGGCTTGTTGGTGAGATCCGCTGACGGGTCTGACATCTCCTCTGGCATGCTGCTAAAGAGCTTTGGTTATGATGAAGGCTGGATCAGATGCCACTCCAAAAAAGTTCAACAGTTGCCTATACTTTTGCTCCCACTGCACTCACTGGTTGGCTGGTCCCGACAAGGTGCAGGCTGGAAAAAGAACCTGTGTTCTGCAGCTGCTGCTGTGCCTGGGACTAGATACTGATGCTATTACACTCTGTATGTGGGTGTGGGTGGTCAGAAGCTACATAAATGTCAAACTCGCATACCTGTTTCTGTCACAAACATAACAGTCTAACTTATAATAGGAATAAATTATGGATACAACATATGCTACCCATGCGTCACTGCACGCCACACACGCACGCACACACACACACACACACACACGCACGCGCGCACACACACACACACACACACACACACACACACACACACACACACACACACACACACACACATTAACGTTACTGCATAGTGAACTAGATTATGAATCTATTAAGTTAGACTGTATTTGATAGTAAAACATCTGGAAATAATAATAGGAAACAAAAATAAAACATCAAAAAAGTGAAACAATGAACACAAGTCCTCTAAATCGAGTAACATTGAATCTGGGACGTAATTTTGGGGGGGGACGGGTGGGACATGTCCCCCCCACTTTTTCAAAAGGCAGTTTTGGTCCCCTGCACTTTTTTCCGTCCAAAAACAATGTTACGCTCCATTAAATGGATTTGGTTGAGCACTAGGACCGAAACGGAAACCGGTTTACTATTAGACCCGCCCAAAAGCTAATCTATTGGCTCTGCTGATACTTGCTAACGTTTTATTGGCTGTTGCTGCTGTCACTCAAGTTGTAAACAGTCAGAACGTGCTCACGTTGTTTTGCTAGTTTGGAGCCGCTAGGGAACACCGGTACTGAGTCACATCGTCAACTAGACGCTGTGTAATATCAGAGCTCAGCTCAGCTTCCATTACATAACATTTGAATAAGTGTTCATTTGTGAGTCTTTGGTAGTTAGGCACAGCCAGGAGGCAGCATGTCAAGAAAACGAAAAGTGGATATAAGAGACTCCTTTCAAAGTCAAAACGTAAGTTGGAACATGTGACAGACCTGCATTAAGCTCAGACTCACCTCCTCCTTCACAAACATACTCAAAACTAACTTTTACAAACTCATCTCCTCCACATAACTGACTCCTCAGACACAATTTATTCATATTATTATAATTATTATTTTTTTATTATTACTATTATCATCATAATTATTATTACTAGTAGTAGTAGTAGTAGAAGTGTAACTTCAAAACTTTTATCATTTAACTTTATTGTAAACTTATCTATTGCAATGTATATGTTCACATTAAAAAGCTCTGAAAAATGAACAGTATCATCATCGTCAACAGATTTTTTTAAGCTTAATGTCAAAGATGTACACTTTTCATTAGATTTATCTTATTTTTTCCATTTATTTTTTGTGTGTTGAAATGCAACAACTGTTTAAACACTTTTAAGGGAAAAAACATATTTAATATGTTTTTATACACTCAAATGTTAGGGTGATGATCATGTGTAAAACATTAGTTCAGCATGTCCTCTAACACAGCAAATGAACAAACGGCCAGATCTCAGGAGGGACCGTTTATGTATAAATAATTTTTATACTTTTGACTAGGCCTGGGAATGTAACACATTTTGCTGGACGATATTTTGTCCAACAAATTGTTGATGATAAACGATATTGTCAACATTATCTAGACCAAAATAACTACTAATATAATGTTAATATATCATAATAATGCAAGTACACCCTTTAAAATGCAACAAATAAACCTTCATTTAACATTGAAATGTCCAGAACCAGAACTTCTAAATGAATAAAAATAACAAACAAAAATTGAATAAAAAAGGAATCTCACTCCCTGTTAGAAAATGTTGCACCAAAAACAATAAAAAAGACCCAAAACAATAAATACAATGGCCTATCCATTGTCAACAGCCAAAACTGCACTTCAATAATGATAATAAATAAAAATAATAATAGAGTTGTACATTTTTTAACTTTGATATATATATATATATATATATATATATATATATATATATATATATATATAGAGGATGGAAAAATTATTGAGATGGGCACGTGACGTGTCAAGGGGTCTTTACATAACACCCCCCACCCCAAATCCGCACAAGCCTGCTGTGTCCCCCCCACTTCTGAAATCAAAAATTCGTCCCTGCATTGAATAACTTAAGACACAACATCCGTGAATAGAGGATAATTATTGATTTTTTTTAAATTATTTTTCTTTTGAACTTTCAGGGCGCCAGAAGGCGCATGCGCACTAGGTCCTTCGGCACCTTTTCCGCAAACATTAAACATGTCTGCTTCCTGGATCTGCTTCAGTATGTTATGGAACTAACATTTCTTCGCCTGATGGGGGGTTGGCATCTGCTCATAGCCGTTTCAGCCGCTGCCTCTGCCCTGTCCCGCGCTGGTGAAACTCACGCAAAGGTTAACACCTCCGCTGCTGCTCATTTCCACTCGTTCAGGAAAAAGTTTCACCGCTTATATGAAGTCGACAGCGAGGAACTTATCCGTCGTCGTCTTTATTTTCAGGTAAGAGATGCCAAAAGCTGCCCGAGTGACTCGAGAACCATAAAGGGTCGGTGTCTAATTTATACGGTGGCCCAGATTCAGAAGGGTCAACAATAGGCAAAAAGTCGCAACACAACATGAAAGTCCACCACGGAAGTTATGCCAAAGCGGAAAATGAAATTAAAATGCGTACTACTACAGATTACATAATTATTACTTCTTCAACGACACGTTTTTTAAATGAAAATGTGTTTATATTTTACCCACATTTGTTTCCCGCAAACAAAAGCAAACCAGAACATTTGTCCACTGTTACTATTTTTGTTATTAATAACAATTTCCTTGAGGAGTTGATACTTCAGAATGTAGTTTGAACATTTATTTATTTATTTTTTATTTGTTCAGAAACGCTTCTTACACATCAGAAGTTGAAAAGGTGTTTATATATTTTTTCCTTATTACTAATTTAGTAAGTAGGTCATTCATGTTTTATCATGTAGGTCAAAGCTGGCAAAAACAAACAAAAAAAACAGTGCAAGATTTTAATAGATATTATTAAAGCTATTTTAAGGAATCATTTTTGATTGTACATTATTTCTTAGTTTATTTATTTAACCTATATACTTAGATTTGTATTCCCTTATTTGATGAATAACAACATCAACAATAATAATATCATCATCACTTAATTTGATGAGAAGCTGCTCTTTTATATCCAGCTTTCCGGTTAATGGCACCTTTTCTGATGAGTTGCATGTGTTATTGCAGAATGCTACATTGCGACACCTATACCTGAACTCATTTTCTACAGAGCCACAGTCTGCCAGGTACGGAATCAACCAGTTCTCTGACCTCTCGCAGATGGAATTCAGCGGTAAGGTGACATTTTGTTGTGTACAACTGTGTAGGCTTTCAGAGTTAAGTTAGATGCTGGCGTTGTATTTTTGCTCTCTGGAAAGTTACAAAAGCAAAAGTTAAAGAGCAAGTCACCCCCAAATCAACTTTTTTTTCTGATAAACTATATAAATGCGTGTCTAATCGTGCTGCAGACACGTGTAGTCATTAGTTTTGCACTTTAGTGCATTTTAGTGACATTTTTATTTTCTGCTTAAAACTGTCATTGTTGTGCCGTTGTCAGGTAAAAATTCTGCACTGCATTTGAATTTAAATCTGCCATCGCTATTGGCTAAGAGGTACCCTAGAACGTTAGCTGGTACCATATGATGTCACAATGTCGTTGTGAGCTTATGTGTGTATATATTTGTTCGCGACTCCGCCCTCTCGATCTGCTAGGCAACAGCATTTGTTGCACTTTTCAATTCAATTCAATTCAATTCAAGTTTATTTATATAGCGCCAAATCACGACAAGAGTCGTCTCAAGGCACCTAGTGAGGTTTTCCAGGCTCATTCAACTGGGCAATAGAGGCTCAAAAGTTGGGTGGTTATTCTGAAACTGGTGGGTTGCTGGTTCAGTCTCCCCATCCATCCATCCTATTCTTTGTGTCCTTGGGCAAGACACTTCTCCCATGCTTGCCTACTGGTGGTGGTCAGAGGGACCGGTTGTGTTGCAGCCTCTTTTCTCTCAGTGTGCCCCTAGGCAGCAGTGGTTAAAATGGAGCCTCTAACCACCAGTGTGTGAATGGGTGAAAGACTGACTGTAATTCAATTCAATTCAAGTTTATTTATATAGCGCCAAATCACGACAAGAGTCGTCTCAAGGCACTTCACACAATAAAAATTCCAATTCACAGTTCATTAAGCCAATCAGAAATAATGTTTCCTATATAAGGAACCCAGCAAATTGCATCAAGTCACTACTAAGCAAGCATGCAGCGACAGTGGAGAGGAAAACTCCCTTTTAACAGGAAGAAACCTCCAGAGAATCCTGGCTCAGTATAAGCAGCCATCTTCCACGACTCACTGGGGATCGAGAAGACAGAGCAGACAGACAAAGACACAGACACAGACACAGACACAGACACAGACACAGACACAGTCACACACACACACACACACACACACACACACACACACACACACACACACACACACACACACACACACACACACACACACACACACACACACACACACACACACACACAAAGACAAAGTAATGTGTCTATAGTTATATTGTGATGTCTTCGTAAATATTCTATTTGGTGAGAGATAAACTTTATTGTATTTATCCTAGTGGATCTATAATTAAATGGGTAAACTAGCAGTAGCACATTCACTGTCAAGGAAAGCAAAAAGTTATTATGAGGAGAGGGAGAATGTTTTAGTGGTTAGCAGCAGTGTGCTAGTCGATGGCCCCCTCCATGAGGCCACCACAGCTCAGCAGAACATCATTGTAGCTTCTTCTGGGGAGAAAAACACTTGGAGAAAAAATAAAGTTAACAGCTGAAATAGCAGGAAATAATACAGTTAAAGAGCAGATTGTAGAAGAAAGCAGTAGAGTGTGAAACGTGGTCAGTGTATCCTAGGGTTGTCACGATACTAAAATTTCAAACTCGATTCGATACTTGGAAAAAAACTCGATGCTCGATAATCGATTTCGATACTATTTAAAAACACCCATTTATCGAACAAGTTTATTCAAAAAATAACATTCCTCAATTTATATTACAAAAATTAAATGTTAAGAATTAAGTGTATTAAGTGCTTAAACCTTTCAAGTATCAGCATTTTTTAAAACGTGCATACAAAAACTGGTGAAAGTTAACACTTTAAATCATGAATTGCCTCACTATTTGCAGAGTGATGTTTTGCTGCTTAAACTCTGTTTAAGGTGCATTTTTGTCATAAGATGTAATGCCATATGTTTTGTTCTGTACTTTTGAACAACTCTGTTGGTCAATAAAGGGAGAAAACGAATTTCTCCACAGTAGGACAAAGGTACATCTACCGGTAATCTTAATAAAAACAGACTGGCGCACGGCAGTGACATCATTAAAAGCGCCGGTTAGATTAGCCGCAGCTAGTCTGTTTACGCCTAGAAATCCCAGACCAGACCCGCTCCAAACGAACAGGGGAATCACGTTAATGATTCCTAACAAAACCTTTCGACATGAAGATGTTTTGGTGCAGATAATGTCTTATTTCGAGGCTGCACCATGGGTGCCCGTCCGCACCCGTTATATGGATATACGCTGACGGCGATTCGCCGATGGAGCTACGGTAAATACCCCGGGGAATCCAAGTAGCACCAAAGTTGTCAGCGTGAGTAAACAAACATACTGCATGCTAGAAATTAAGTCCGGGTTGCAATAAACGGGAGTTTCCTTTAAGCACATAAGCGTGAATATACAACTACGTGTCGGACTTGGTATGCTAATTAAGTTGGGCTGTGAAGCGCCTCCCAAATTCGCTGTTTATGTTTTTGTTTATTTATTTGGCAGACAAAACTTGGATCAGAGACAACTCGCGTGGGAAATTGCTATGTAGCCATGCGGAGTCTTCTTCTGTTTGTCTGGGAGGCGGAAGCTGCTTTACGGCATCTGGCTGTCGTGCGTGTCGGTGTACTTGAAGAAGGCTGTGTATAATAGTCCCTAATATCAATACCACAGGGATGGAATATCTCATTTAGATACCACTTTTAGTATCGATTTATATCTGGGTATCGATTTTTTTGACAACACTAGTGTATCCTCCAGCAGTCTAAGCCTATAGCAGCATAACTACAGAGATAACTCTGGATAATCTATCCTATTTAGATGTAGGCATGTTGGAGGCACGGCAAGGGAGAGCCATCTTTACCGACTGTACACTCCACCTCCCTCTACTCCCCCACTTGTCCAGATCTAGGCTAACATCAGGTTTTAACCATAGGCCCTATCAAATAAAAATGTTTTAAGCCTAGTCTTATAAGTAGACAAAGTGTCTGCCTCACGGACTAAGGCTGGGAGCTGGTTCCACAGGAGAGGAGCCTGATAACTAAAAGATCTGCCTCCCATCCTAATTGTAGATATTCTGGGAACCACCAGTAGACCTGCAGTCTGAGAGCGAAGTGCTCGGTTAGGAACATATGGAACAATCAGATCACTGATGTATGACGGAGCTTGATTATTAAGAGCTTTGTATGTGAGAAGAAGGATCTTAAAATCTACTCTGAATTTAACAGGTAGCCAATGTAGGGAAGCTAAGACAGGAGAGATATGATCTCTCTTTTTAATTCTCATCAGAACTCTAGCTGCAGCATTTTGGACAAGCTGAAGACTTTTAACTACATTCTGTGGACTTCCTGAGAGTAATGAATTACAGCAGGGATTCCCAAAGTGTGGTGCGAGCTGCCGCTAGGGGGTGCGCAAGGTGAAAAGTGTAATGGCTGCGGAGCTCAGAGAAGTCTGTCAAATGTCACCATTAGCGTAGCCAGAAACTCATTTGTGGGTGGGCCAAAGAAAAAATAAGTGGGCACAATAAATGTAATTGAAAACAAGTATATTTTTGCGCGCGCGTGTGTGTCCTCCACATGTGCCCTAGCTTCATAATAACAATGCGCCGAGCTTCAGCACTCTGGCCTGCGCACGCCGATATGTTCCGTATTTGATCATTTTTAACTGTGTTGGAGGAATCTGAAGGTGGTGAGTCATTCTGGCAGATTGTAATTAACACCTGTCTCATGCAGGTGTTCTGACATTGTAAACCTCACACACAGAACATTGTGGATGTAACTAAATAAATCAAGAAATGATTCCCATTCAGGCTATTAATAGCACGCTGAAGATCTGAAGTTCAGAGTGAGTCTGTCAGAGGTCAGACGCGTTCCAGCGGAACCACGGCTCACGGGTGCACAAGTGAGCACATCTGGGCTGGGCAGAAGTAATTTTACAACATTGGTTTAAATAGCGCCAATAATGAGACGCGGTGACTGGAGCGGCTCATGGAGCTGTGCCGCACACACACACACACACACACACACACACACACACACACACACACACACACACACACACACACACACACACAGAGATTCAATAAGCGCGCACGCTGCGCAAACTCCGGCGCGCCGTCAGACTGAAGGCAGAAATGAGCGCCGCCTCCTCCGTGATAAAAACTTTTAAGAGGTTTTATAACATTTTTCATTCCAGGTCAAATTAAGATATTAGCTTCTATTTTGAGATGACCTATTAAGGTCGGGTCCGCTCCAGCCAGTGACTCCGAACCTGAACTCATGTTACTGCAGCATTTGTTATTCCAGTCCGCATGGCAGCGGATCGCAGATTCAGCCACACCATAAAACAGCAATAAGTCGGTCTGAGGTAAAAGTGAACCTCATGGCTATATCTTTTCCATCTTTTCCTCTATAGACATTTGATTACGCACAAGTAGGTGATCAGCTCAGGTTTACGCAGAGCAGAAGGAAGGAGAGCACTCTGGCCGCACAGGTTAAACGTTCCTACTTCAAGAAAACTGTTAAATTTCATTGTTTATGTGCTACCTGGGCACTCCAAATATTTATTTAAAATTAAATCAAAGGAAATCGTAATGGTATCAAATGTTTTTTAATTACTATTTAAAAAATGAAAGTGATGGGGAAAAAGGTCGATCATATTTTTTTTTAACCCTGTCTGTTTAGCTTGACGTCTGATATATATATATATATATATATAGCCATGCCCTGATGTGGGGGCTAGGGGGTGCGTCGACATGGTCGGGGCATAGAAGGGGGTGCGCGGCTAAATAAGTTTGGGAACCGGTGAATTACAGTAATCCAGTCTTGATATAATAAATGCATGAACTAGTTTTTCAGCATCACTCCTGGAAAGGATGCTTCTAATCTTATCAATATTCCTAAGGTGGAAAAAGGAAATCCTACAAACCTGATTAACCTGGGATTTGAATGACATGTCCTGGTGGAAGATAACACCAAGGTTCCTTACTTTGTTCTCGGAGATTAATGTAATGCCATTCAGGTCAGGTGATTGGCTAAGCAATTTCCTTTTGTGGATTTCTGGTCCAAAGATGAGAACTTCCGTCTTGTCTTGATTTAAAAGCAAAACGTTTAGAGTCATCCAATTTTTTATGTCCTCAAGACAAACCGGAAGTGGGAGTGGAATAAGACTCTGGTAGGGTGTGACTTGCTCTTTAAGTTTTAAAATTCATTAAAATTACTCCTCTGCCTTAATTTTGTTCAGTAGATTGTTTCAGTTCTTAACTCCACATCATGAATCTAGAACCCCGAGACATTGATGACAAATCTTTTCATCTAGGAATGATTTAAAACTGTATCGCTATCCACAGATGTTTACCTGCGAGCGTTCAGTAGCAGAGCTCCTGCCTTCTCTGGAGGGTCTATAAAGGAGTTCCCTGCCAAATTTGACTGGAGGGAGAAGGGTGTGGTGGGACCAGTCCAGAACCAGCTATCAGTAAGATTACTGCATATAAATGTGATTTGTAAGCCACACTGTCAGCTGAAGGAAAAGGCATTGATCATTTTTTCCTAACCTAAAACTTGGATTCATGTAGATATAACTTTAATCAGGTTGTGTTCAATTATAGATTGATGCAGTTCTCTGCTATAGCAGTGTCGTGTCAGTTATAGGCTTGCACAGTTTTAAGCCCGATTTAAACTTCTCTGCAACATAGAGACTCAAACGGAGTGCATTCGCATGCTAGCTTCTCCGCAGACAGGCGAGTGTTGAAAAGCAATTCCCCGCCAGGACAACGGAGGACGTAGCGCTTTTCTGTGGTATCCTGCCACCATAACATTCATGTATCCGGAAGTTATGCCAAAGCGGAAAATGAAATTAAAATGCGTACTACTACAGATTACATAATATACATACATAGTACATAATATACATACATTACATAATAGTGTATTTACTAATGTGTTAATATATTTCAGAGACTTTATAACACGAACAAATTTGTCCTTTATTCTCCACCACCTCTTCATGCGGTCACCACGTCTAAACCCATGTTTCCCATCGTTTCCATCCACGTGTGCTCTGTACGTTGTGCTCTTTCAGTCACCGGTGAAGAAATGTTCATATTTTCTGACTTTTTCCGCAACGCGTTCTTTTATCTGTTCTGGGCCTTCTGCTAAATATCTTTTTACTTTTTACTGCAGCACCAGTTCCAACAGAGCGCCCGCCTTTCTGAAGTTGCAAGTGGAATTCTGGCCACAGAGGGGCTGGGTGGCCTTTCATTAACCCTGTAAAGCGCCATTTTAGCACATACTGGATCAAGAAGTGATTTAAAAATATAAAAAAAGTTGCAAAGTATTCCTTTAAAATACATGAAGAAATTTTTTTTTCAAACAATTAGGTTTACACAAGAGCCCAGATCCTGTGTGTTTCATACTGTAGTTAAATGGTAACTAGAACCAAACTTGGTGCTTGATGCAGAATATTCAATGATATCAAAACAATTTCTACTCTGTTCTTGTAATTTTTTTTATTGCTGTTAACTTCATGTTGGATTTCTAGAACAGAAGGTGATACTCGCTTCAGTTCGCTCCGTTAATGTGGTTGAGGTGAAAGGAATTCAGTCTCTAAAGGGTTAACATCAGCAAAAGAAGAGCAAGACTTTCCACAACCCGACCAACTGCCAGATTTCTGTAAAACTCTTTGCATTTCTACAGCTGCAGTGTGTTCCACAACTCACCACGAGTGTCAGCATACTGACTCTCCTCCATGCATTGCTGATGAGAATTATGTTGGTGAGGAACTTATTTTAAGGTCTGAGTTGGCTTCTAAGTGGAAAAAGTTCCAAAGTAGTAGCTACTCACTGGCACAAACCTAGAAAAACAACAGTTTGAATGTTTGACATTAAGTAGATCTTTAAGTAACTCAAGACATGAAATAAAAATAAATATATGAGAAGTTTTTCTACAATCTGGCTTCAATTCACCACCTCGCCATCTGCCTAATTTCAGTTTCTCGTGTCTGTGAAACGTTCGTATATGTGGGTCAGATGTGCCTAGTCTTTCAAGTCAAATCTGCATTTATATAACGTGTGGGATATTGGAATGCATTATTCAGGCCCTGATTTGTTCATAGATGGAATTATAAATTAATCAAACTAATCAAATAACAAGGACATAATATGCGCCTCTTTGTAATGAAGCTCACAGTTGATTTTAGTACACACAGATGCAAGATTCTGAGTTGATGATTGACAGGTGTGTTCTCCGTTCTTATCCACAAACTCAGGCCCTGTCCACACGTAGCCGGGGATCTGCCAAAACGTAGATATTTTTCTACGTTTTGGCCTGTCATCCTCACGAAAACGGAGTTTTTTCACACGAAAACGGATCTTTTTAAAAACTCCGGCCAAAGTGAAGATCTGCATTTTCTCCGTTTTGGGTATCTGCGTGTGGACAGACAAAACCGGAGTTTTAAGGTCCGCAACGTCACTTTCCGCGACAAAAAAATGCTGACATCACGTGTGCGACCTGTGTTTACACTAGCCGGCATCATGGATGCCCTCAGAGCTGCGCTCGCTTTATCAATTGTCCAAGCGCTTTTTGCTTGTTTGTTTTTGCAAGCGGAATTACTGCTCCTTGCGGAAGACCACAGACGAAGGACGAGGTTAAGAACGGGGGAAGTACTGCCGCCTACAGGTCTGGCATGTCCTTAACAACGTATTTATCCGGGTACGTGTGGACAGAGTTTTGTTTTTAAACAAGGTGGTGTGGATGCAAGTTTTTGGAGGGGCGGATATTCGTTTTAAAAAAAAACCCGGCTGCCTACGTGTGGACTAGGCCTTAGTTTCATGAGAGGGCACGAGGCAAACTCCCACCCTTTTTTATAGTTTACATCTCATATGACTGTCCCACATACCATCTAAAAATGATCTTGTTTTAATGCGTACAACAATAGTTCTTAGAGCCTGTACACACGTAGGCAGATATCCCACAAACAAACAGACTTTTCAATAGTTTGGCCTGTCATCAACAAAAAAGTGAAGATAAATGGCTCCAAAAAACTATTCTGTCAAAAAACTCCAGCCAAGGCCGAGATTTGCGAATTCTCCATTTTCAGCATTGGTTTGTAAATGTAAATAAAATTGGGACTTTCTCTGACATTGTAAAGTTGGGGTTCTTTTAGAAAAGAGAGGAGGGTGTACTTTGGATGATGGCATTGCCAGGCTAGCATTTTAGTGCATTTTAACCTTTTGATCATTTGTAATTATTTAAATATTTTCAACTAATAACAGAAACAGGTGAGTTTTAAAACGTAACATCAGTGAAATAACATCAACAAGAAAGGAAATGTCTAGTCTAGTTTGCTCTTTTGTTTTAAGTCTGGTCTCATTATCTGAATGTCAGAAATATTTTGGAGCATGAACCAAGCTCAGTTAATGCTGAAAATACTAAAACAGTAAAAATGAATAAACATCCAAATGTCTTCTTACATTTGATATTTTATTGTTTATATGTTTTAGAGTTTGTGTTTTTATTGATCATATGTTCTAGATGTTTTACTGTCTCAGTTTTTGGGGTGGCACCTGGGGTGGCCAGCCTCTTTATGTCATTTCTGGCCTGCTTATTCAATAATAATAATAATAATAATAATAAAAATAATACATCAAACTTATATAGCGCTTTTTTAGGACACCCAAATACACTTTCATGCACTCACATCCACACAGTGTTAGTGATGGTAAGCTACTTTGTAGCCACAGCCACCCTGGGGTGGTCTGACAGAGGCGAGGCTGCCGTTTGGCGCCGTCGGCCCCGCTGACCACCACCAACACAGGCAAGTTGGGTCTTGCCCAAGGACACAACAGCAGAATACCCCTGGCAAGAGCTGGAATTGAACCCATGACCCTCCGATCATGAGGCAACCCGCTCTACCTCCTGAGCTTCTGCTGCCCCTTATTTGGGGAACTACCACCACCCACAGACTTGTTATTCCTACAAAGGTGCTTCACCAATACACTGATTTAGTTGCTGTTGTTGTTGTTGTTGTTGAAACCAAGGTGGCGTGAACCCAGGTTTTTTTTTCCTGGAAGGGCGGGAGGATATTCAATTTTACAAAAACCTGACTACGTGTGTACAAAAACAAGTTATGAGTGGCTCCTGCTTTATTCTAAAACCCAATAGGGACGTAGGCGTCATTTTGTCACACTTCAGAAACTTATACTTCGTCTTGGAGTTGTTTCAAAGTATCAGACTAAGATTTATGATGAGGGTGAAAAAAGTGAATTTTCCTTTTCTGCAAATCAATTTTCTTCTTCCAGTGTTCAAATGAAGGTCAAACATTCAGCCGAGGTAGTAATGGACAAAATACATATGTGAGTGGTGAGGGAGTTCAATCGTTAAGGAAAAGAGATGAAACAATGACAAACCAAGCCTTTGAGACCCAAGCTCAGCGAGCAGAATGGACCTGGGCTACAAAAGCGAGAAGGTTAGTGAGATGGAGATGTTGTACGTCCTTTATGAGGGTTCACTCTTCTGTGCTTTTTGTCCTTTATCTCTTCAGTAAGTCAATTTGCTGCGGGGGATGGTATTTTCACTGTAAACCTCTTCTCCTAAGGGAGGGACATAACCTATACAGCAGAATGCTGGGTGATAACATGGTGTATACTTCATTCTCGTGAATGCAGGGAAAGTTTAGTGCTCCTGGGAGGATCTGTAAACGACCGGAGTCACCGCACTCCCCTACCTCAGCTCCGCTGCAGTCAGTCTACCAACACTTCTTATTGTCGAGCTTGTCTGTTAGACCTTCTCGAGCTGAGATCCCACAGCAGATTAATGGCCAGACTGAGGATAAACTCCGATACCATGCACATGGACACAAAATATCAAGTCAATTACAGCAGATAAATTCTTCCTGGTTAAAAATTTCCTTTTCTTGATTCCTCATTTCTAGCTTGAGTGAGTTTCAAAGCTCACAGATGGCTTTAATATTTTGTATGCTCAGCGCATACTTATCTCCGGTCCAGGCAATCATGACTGAATTTAGTTTCGGTATTGATTTTAAGCCACGGAACCATTTTGATTAAAAGAAAAATCTATTTTACACAGATAGCTCTGATGTTCATCACGTTTATGAGAGTTTATGCTGAGGGAGGAACATGATATAGTGATTTTTAATTTGGAGAATGAGATTTGTCTTTACAAATGTTGAACATGAAACAAAAATCTATCCCACATAATAAGATTCAGCATGCCCCTTCACGGGGGAAGAATGGATTGATTTGAGGGGAGCAATAAAATCTATGATATCTGTTATAGAATTTTTTACAATAAACCTTCTAAAAATTGGAAATTATTGTACCCTGGAAGCTTGAGTAACAGCTGTTTCTGTATTCCCCCCACATGCTTGTGACAAACGAGAGTGGAGCGCATTCGTTCAGAGAGAAATCCAATTTTTCTCCAGCGATTGTATTCTTAAGAAGTTCCTGTCAGTAGATGGCAGCAGAGAGCAGCTGGTCTGGGATGAGTTGTCAGATCATCTCACCTCTTCCAGCAGTAAAAAACAGCTTAAAGCATTGTGGGCTTTTCATTAAAAATACCTTTCAAAATGTAACATGAGGAAGTTTTATCCAAAAGCTTTACCACTTTAATAAATTAAAAAAATTAAAATTTGAAGTGCTGCAGAACTGTTTGAAGTTTAAAGATGAAACATTGATTTCTGCTGGAACAGATCATTAATTTCCACAAGTCTCTGGAAAAATAAGTTTTTTCTTTGCCGACATGTACTTGAGTAAGACAACATTTTCCGTGTATTTGGATAAGCAAAGATGGGGAAATAATTACACCTTCCTCTGGGAACTGTAAGATATGACTGAATTAATGGTTTGGGAGGCATACTTAACTCACCTGTCTTTTCTGTTTTTGTTTGTCTCGTCACCATAATTCACAGTGTGGGAGTTGTTGGGCTTTTAGCGTCGTCGGTGCCGTGCAGTCTGTCTATGCTATCGGAGGCTCGCAGCTGGAGCAGCTCAGTGTGCAGCAGGTTGTGGACTGCTCTTTCAAAAATAAGGGGTGCGATGGAGGCTCCCCCTCTGTGGCTCTGACCTGGTTAAAACAGGTGGGTCGACATTTGTACAGAACAGATTTGCTGGTTTCGTAGGAGACGCTTTCGATTAAGCGCAAAAGCTGGACAAAATCTGAGCCTTAATCCTTCGTATGAACAAAGGGTGTGCTGAATATCTCAGCACTAAAGCACCTGTTATATGTTTGTATAGTAAGAGAACATATAATCACCAGTATCTTATAAATAGATAAGTATTTGAGCTTCTTTTATTTCTCTGTTTAGACCAAAGTAAAGCTGGTTACTCAGTCAGACTATCCATACAAGGCCAAAACAGGGATCTGCCATTTCTTCTCCCGGTCACATGGCGGTGTTTCTGTGAAGGACTTTTCCCTACAAGACTTCAGGTAACAGATTTTGTCTAAAGAGCAACACGTAAAACAAAGTGTGAGATTTATTATTAATGACACAGTTCATTTGAATTGGTTTTCATGTAGAACCAAGGACAGAAATGGGGGGGTGTGATTGGTCGTGCCCAATGGAAAATCAGTGTCTGTCAACAAACACACGGAGAGCTCAGTGGCACAAAGGTTCCTGACTTTGGGTCGATCGATGCGGCCCAAAGGTTAATTTGACCTGTTGTGTTTTGGATTTACCCTCTTGAGCCTCAACTCGTATTCATGATTATCATAGGTGGCTGATTTTTCCTTTTTTTTTAGCGTGATGGTGATAGTAAAAGTCCGGTATCAGATCTGATAATTTCTATTTCAATATAACAGTGAGTTGAGCTTTTAGTTTTCATCATTTTTGTTTTCTGATTTACTGTAATTCATGATTTAAAATTCAGAACGTTTGCTGGATTATTTTACTGATGCTAAATTATACATATTGGCCTCTACAAACAGCAGGTCATTTCTGTTTAATTTGATGAAAAACAAACCCAAAAAGTTGTAATCGTAGATGTTTGTACTTCTAAAACTTCTCTGTACTCTGAAATGAGCAGCTACAACTGCCAAAGTCTCCTTTTTTGCCAGGTTTGTGTATAAAGAGAACTCTTAACATGAATCATCAATTAGCATCAACAAGACCATCACTAAACAGGAAGAACGTGTGACTAGTTGTAAATCTGAAAGTAGCAATCATCTCACGTGCACAGAAGAATAAATCACTTGCCAGGGAAATGGGAGGATGAGTGATAACTGTGGCCCAGTGCCCAGTGGTTTGTGTTGCTACCAGCTGGCCTGCACTGTCATCCAGGCAAAGAGTCCTATAAGCCGCTGCTTAGTAGAACACAGCCACTGGCAGCTGAAAAAGAGAGCATTCAAGTGTTTCACTTGAGTGCAGATTTGCACCGCTGTTTCAGGACTCTGGATTTCCATCAGACAACCTGGATGTTTGTTGTTCTGAAAGCAAAAGGATTAAAGGAAGATTAATAACTGCCTAAAACTCTTAATAAAGGCAATTTAGCTGAAAAAAGACATAAAACAGGAGATAAACATGGTGAAAACCCAAAGTGTATGGCTTCTTAAGCAATATGCTTCATAAAATGTTAAAAAATAAAGGTTTGTATAACATCTACAGAAACCGTGGTGCAAAAAAAAGCTGAAAATAGTTTTTTTATGACCAAAGCTTGCCTTTGAGTTTGGTTTTGCCAGAAGTTTGCTAAGCCGTGTTTTTTTTACATTTTCAGTTTCATGCACTCTCAAAGTTCCCAACTTATTCTAGCACCACAAACATCTGAGTATGCAGATAGACTTTGCCACAACTCCAGAGTGAAATAAAATAGACTTCAGCACATTGATGTCACTTTCTTGCCATTGCAAATGGAAGTTATTGAAATCAAATGCAGCAACCATACTTTTAACCTTTAATTGATTAATTTTCATGTTATTTTTGTTACCTTTGCTGGATCGGATCAGATTATATGATTAAATCTCATATTTAAGATACATTTGAATGTTTTTGTCAACATTAATGGCTTTGGATTGAAACATACTATACAAATATAGCTGCAGCTTGTTAAACACAACTTAAAAGTTAAGCAAAGATGGTTTTCAGACTGAGTAAATGTCAGTGTCACGCTGCCACTTGGTCTACCCTTTTCATCTATCTGATCCAGTATGAAAATGTCCCTTTTGACCTGGCCCTGTCTTCTGGAACTGGATGTCTGTGTGAGGAGGAGTCTCATCAGGGGGTCAGATTTCCACTACAGTGCAGCAAAAGACAAACACGATCATAAAGTCAAAGTGGCTTTTCAGTTTGGTTGGGTACGTAGAGATGGGCTTCGTGGATCGTGAGTAATGAGCCTGGCAGTGGAGGGCATCACAGATACCCCCAGCTGGAATCATCCAGCAGGATGACAGGAAGGGGTATCCGAGGGGGGTCTGCATATGTTCAACACAGAAAGAAGAAACACGAATATGTCAAACACTTGCTCAAAAGCAAATGTACTAATGAGGAGGAAACATAGATAGCATATAGTTTCTAAAGCAAAGACTGGTGGAAGAAACGTACTCTTGTGAAATGTTTAAATAATCACTGAATCTATCTTTTCACTTTACTGAACTTCATTCAACAATTCACATTTCAAAGCTGTTTAATCCCAAGCCCAAACAAGCAAACCTCTGGAGAACATCCTTCTGTTGATTTTCCTCAGTGGTCAAGAGGAGGCGATGATGGGTCAGCTGGTGCAGAATGGTCCTTTGGCTGTTATCGTGGATGCTGTCAGCTGGCAGGATTACCTGGGGGGCATTATCCAACACCACTGCACCAGTCAATGGTCTAACCATGCTGTTCTGGTTGTTGGATATGACACAACTGGTACAAGCTGCCACCACACATGCACACACGCATCACAGTTCAACATGCACATTATTTTTGAGATTGCAGACAGAAACTGTGGACTGTGAAATTAATTTAAATATGCACAAGACAGTCTTAATCAGATTTATGCGCAACCTGCTACTGCAGCGTGACCATATTATGCTCCGTATGTCACAACGAAGGCATGAATAATAGTTTAAGCTTTTTTGAGCATTTCTGAGAAACACATTTTAAAGATCTTGTTAACAATTATATGAAATGAAACAAGATAATGGTCATGATATGTACCAATATGTCCAAAATAATGGAATAAAAGAGATGGAGCAGATTTTTCAATTAATCTATGTACAGCCACAATTTAGTGTTTGACTTTGTGACTTAATCCTCTTAGTCTTCATAAGCAGTGAGTGGCCAGAGATTAACTGGATTTCTCAATATGTCCCTGAATTATCTGTATGCGCTACCCTAAATCAGATAAATGAGATGGGGACAGTGAAAGAAAAGGATAACACTTTATCAAATCATTGTGTGCATCATTAAGCATTAATAACCTAATAAATAAAGTATTAACAACTGATTAACCATATTATGTAATCATCACTAAGCAGACACTTCGGCTCTTTATCATAACGTTAAGGTCTCTTAATAGTTAACAGAAATAGTAACGTTAATAAAGGGACCCTTATTGTAAAGTGTTACCAAAATGAGGGAAGTGAGTTTTACATTTATTTAGATTTTTCTACTTCATCGGAGACAAAAATTACCCCAGATAGTTCACAATTAATCTTTTTAAAATGACTCAAATTTTCCTTGTTTGCAACATTGGTGTACTTGTGATTTAAACCTACAGCATGTTCCTAAAGTCTTTCTGTTCCAAACAGGTTATGTCAACATTTGTTCAGTTGTTGAGAAACTCAGTGAACTGTTTATAGAGCTCTTTCTGTCAGAACGAGTATAAATGATTTACACGCGTCTCCCTCTACTGTGCATTATACTACTAAACTATTCATGGAATCAACCAACTTCATCTGAATTGGTGTTGTTAAAAATTTGTGACTTTGAGGTGAACTTTTATTGTCGGTATTTGGTTCACGTTGCCCCGTTTTTAACATCTCAACACAATTTTCCCAGCAGAAGACTTTTTATTTGTGTTTTTAACATCAATTATTTCACGCAGCCTTGTTCTCAAAAGGTTACACAAGAGAAAATGATTATGTAACAGTATAAACACTTTCAAACGCAGCCTTTACTGTGAAATGCGTGTTTTGTGTCACAGGGGAAATCCCGTACTGGATCGTGCAGAACTCCTGGGGAACCTCGTGGGGGAACGAGGGTTATGTTTATGTAAAAATTGGCAGCAACGTCTGCGGTAAGTTCATCACCTCATGTGGTTTCGTACATTTGTTTATTTGGGTGCTGTTTAGTTTTCCCCATGAATTAACCATGCGTCACTTTGGTTTCTTCGCAGGAATCGCAGAGTCTGTGGCCGCCGTCTTTCTTTGACAAACGGTTTGTTATTGAAGTTGTCGTATCTGGTCGTGTCAGTCGCTGTGTGGGCGCTCACCAATGCCAACATGAAATAAGTCCTGTTCTTGCCTTCAGTGTCACATTGGATAATGCTTTTATTGAAATGTAACCATATTGCATCACTAAAAGAAAATAAATCATCTCATATGTTTGCAAGTGTTGGATTATAACAGCGCTACAGAACACGCTGCTGCAAAACTGCAACAATACCAATCTTTTCACTGTACAAAACATGCATTTTATTAAATACATAAAGAAAAATGTATATACATATATATATATATATATATATATATATATATATATATATATATATATATATATATATATATATATATATATATATATATATATATATAGGCATTAGAATGCATAATTCAGCTATACAAAAATCCCAATAATTCCAAAAACTATCCAATAATTAGTCTATAAATACACAACAAAATTATCTATCTATAGTAATATAAAAACATCAGTAGCAACTACCGTCCTCATCAGGAAGCAGCTATGTACACCATTTCTGGGTTTTATTTCATAGCATTAAAGCTGTAGTTCTGTTGACATTCATGTGGTTGAGATTTCATCATATGTACATTTTATTTCACTTTAGGTGCATCTCAGTCACATAAAATTGCCCCTTGACATGAAAGATGTTGCATTTCTGTAAAGTCCCACCAGCATTGTCCCTTCACTCAAGGTTTGATCATTCCTCCCACTGATCTGTTTGCCTGCAGGTCAGTGAATTTTCATTTACATAAGTTTATTGAGGGAACATCTAAACAGTCCTCATCAGGAAGCTGTCTGCATCCCTCCGTGTGACTCAGAGTGGAGATTAGTGCAGAGAATCCCGATTTTGAGTTGTGAAATTTTTGTTGTCAGGCATTTGGTCACAAGCTTTCCTATTTAGTTGTTTTTATGATTATGAGTTACTTTTTTAATGCTTGCTAAACTTTTAAATATACAAACTTATGATTTTACATTTTTTACATTTACATATCAAAAAGCAAGTATTACACTAAGATTTTGTTTAACCATCCAACCATCCATTTTCAGTGGCTTATCCGGAGTCGTGTTGCAGGGGCAGCAGCCTAAACTGCAAGGTCTAGACTTCCCTATCCCCAGCTACTTTTGCCAGCTCTTCAGGGGAATCCCAAGGCATGTAGATTGCTTGGGCGAACCCCCCCCCCCCCAAGATCCCCCTAAGTGTATAGAGCTGGTGCAGTGTTCCAGGACAAAAACCACATCGTTTCCACTGAATCTGACGTTAGGCAATCCAACGGACCCTCCTCTCCAGAACCCCTGAATAGACCTTACCAGGGAGGCTCAGGAGTGTGATCCCTCTGTAGTTGGAACACACTTTGCGATCCCCCTTTTTAAATAGGGGAACCTCCACCCCGGTCTGCCTGTCCAGTGGGACTGCCCCCGATGCCCATGCGATATTGCAGAGCCGCATCAACACAGCCCAACAACATTCAGAGTTTTAAGGATCTCCGGACGGATCTCATCCACCCCCAAAGCCTTGCCACCGAGGAGCTTTTTAACCACCTCATTGACCTCTGCCCCAGAGATTGGAGAGTCCAACCCAAAGTCCCTAGACACTGCTTCCTCACTGGAAGACATGCTGGTGGGATTGAGGAGGTCTTCGAAGTATTCCGCCCATCGATCCACAACGTCCCGAGTAGAGGTCAGCATCACTACTGTAAACAGTGTTGATAGTGCACTGCTTTACCCTCCTGAGGCGCCGGATGGTGAACCAGAATCTCCTCGAAGCCATACGCAAGTCTTGCTCCATAGTCTCACTGAACCCCTCCCACACTTGTTTAACCAATTAAACTTGTTATTTCACTTAGCTACAGAATATATTTGAAACCATCCCTGTTAATGAGAGACCATGTAGTTTATCAGGTTTTCTCACATTCATTGTTATCTACAAAATTATGCATTGACTGGCACAAACAAACTATCTCCAGTTCACCAGTGCTCAGGTCACTAAAAACTTCCAGCAAATGTTCCCCCTCTGTGATCACCCCGTTGCAGCAAAGGGAGGCCAGGACAGTAGAGGCCCTCTAGTCTGAGTCCTCACTGCTGCAGTAGGAGCTGTCGCAGCACTCGGCCATGTAGAGGAAGGTGTGAACGTTGGGATTCAGTTTGGGCACCCAGTGGCGAGGCACCAGGAAGGTCGCCAGGTTAAACAGATCCACAAACACTTTGTAACGATCGCTAAATGGAAAGAAAATCACGGGTTTGTACTTTGTAAGTGATGCAAAATAATTATAAACACAACTTGCTACAAAAAGGTTTAAAGGCGTGGAACTCTTGTTTAATCGGTACATTTGCAGTGGTCTCTAGTAAGAATCATGGGCTCGACACACGGGCGGCGACATCGCCTCTCCTCCATTCATTTTCAATGAAACATGCACGACAAAGCGATAATCGCGGGTCTCCCTCCTACCAAGCGAAACGCGAAAAACGTGCGTGTGAAATTTTGCGCTCGTGCACGTGTCGTGCACAGGCGACCCAGCGACGCAATCCCAGAAAGTTGAAACATTTTCAACTTTTCATCGCTGTCGCTCGGACGAGGAACAATCAACGGAGGTTTCATTCACTGTCCAATGAGCGGACAGGATGCTCCATACATCTCCGAGCAAACATGGAGGAGAAGTTGATTATTATTATGTTTTATATAGTAAAATCAGAAGTAAGATTTCACATAACTCTAGCAGCACCTTGTGAAACATCATATCTACCGCTTTATTAACTCTGAACCACTTAAATAACCTTAATTCCCTCCAACTTGACACAGCCAAACAAAACAACGGATGTTTCGATTTCGCCATGGAACAGAACGCGTAGACGGCTTTGCCGCTGGCCGTGGATCGCCTCCCGTGTGTCAGGTAATAAAAGCGACAGCGACGAATTTCGCTGATCGCGGTCGTTTGTCTCCTCCCATGTGTCGAGCCCATTAATGCTTTTTAAGTTGTACGCTGGAAGGCGGGGCAACAGTAGTGCACCATTTTAGGAACCAGAAGGGAGCCACATCAGATCTGAGCTTCATACGGCTGGTTTTGGTCTTATTTCCTGATATTTGAACTTCTCGCCTCGGATTGGATAACAGCAATGCAACATTGACTTGCAATGTGGAGGTTTTATCTTCACAAATAACACACGTCTAAAGGAGTTCTGTTACGTGGTAGAATTGCTGGTAGCCAGGATGTTCTCTGCTGTATCCTGGACACTAAACCAAAAACAGCCTTCCTCGCCATGAGTCAAGATGGCTGAGGCCATGAATGTAAAGTGACAGTGTGACATAGGTCTCTCAGGCTTTTCTGATCCTAGAGTTTCACCGTCTATTGGTGTAGGAGACTATTTTCATGTTCAGCCTGCATGAAAACACAGTGACCGATTATAATCAGAAACAATCATTACAAATGTTTTTTTCAGTGTTCCACACCTTTAAAGGTTAAATGAACGTAAAAAGTTCCATCTGTGCTTTCATGGAGTAAATAGCAATTTTGGGTTTTATTTCTTTGCCAAACGGCCTAACTGGTGTTTAAAGAGCAAGTCACTCCCCTATCAGTCTTAGGCAACACACATTTCCTGTTTGGAAAATGCATCAGAAGGAGGCATTGCCTGGTGGACCAAGAGAGCCCTAAATGAGATGCACTAAAATGTCTCCATAATGACTACACGTGTATACAGAAGTAGTCGACAATAATTTAAACAGCAAAAAAATAAAATAAAAAAACGGTTGATTTGGGTGTGGCTTGCTCTTTAATAAAGATGTTTAAGTTTATTTGAAACAATACCTGACGGTAGATCTGAGATAGAGGTAGCCAGATGAGCCTCCTGTTCCTGCCTTGCTGCCAATCATACGGTGCACCATGCACACATGATTGTCTAGAAAGGAATGGGGACAGAAACTCAGTGGTCTTTAGGCTTTACAGCTTTTACTTTACGTAAACCTTTGGAGCACAAGTGACAGATACCTCCCTTTTCAAACTTCATGACCCCTCCTTAATAATGTAGCTCAAGCTTTAGGTGAACTGTGAAAATCCATAAGCGGCTCGGAAAAGTGTATTCAGCAACTTCGACAGCGAAATACTCACATCTCCATTTTGTCATGAGGGTGTCAATGTCCATGAGGGACGTGAGGAGCTGGAAGGGAACCTGAAACCTCGGCTCTTCCCTAAGAAGAAAAAAAAGATCTAAGGTCTCGCCGTTTTTATTTAAAATAAAAAAAAAGGTCTAAATTTTAATCACTTTAAAAACGAGAGCAGCTGTCACCTGTTCACCACCTACAACCCTGCAGTTTTGCACTAATTATCACTTTCCAGTAACTGCCAGATGACTTTGTTGGCACTGGTGAAGCCTTAATGAGCCTCGTGTGACACTCTGTCCCTACCACACATGTTTTACAAAACTAGCTGACACCTTTAGGTAAAACACACCGACATGCTCAGACTGTTAAAACATCCCGAAGACCTTTTTACAACTGCTGTAGGTGTCGCCCGGAGTTGATGGCTGACAGCGCTTCAGAACAGGCTTCTGATATGGAAATTTTAAATGGGGAGAATTAATGAGTGCCCAAGCCTCTAAAACTTGCACTGAGCTGTTCTTAAGTTAGATCTCCCTTTGGAGGTGCCAGCCCCATCCTAGCTGTAAAAAGGAATTACCTGCATTAAAACGGTGTAAATAATTTAGTTTGGTTCGACAATTAAAGATGAAGAAACACTGAAAATGTGTCTAACCTGTAGAAGTAGATCATCAGAGCACCTTGAAGAGCTTTGTAAGAAAGTCTCCTTTCACCTTGTTCACAAAAGAGGAAATAGATTACTTTGAAAGCACATCAACTTGTCTTTATTTGTACTTTTTATGAGCTGGAGTTTAAAGTCCACCGGAGACCGTTTGGAGTGAGCTCTGAGCAAACACAAAGCATAACTGTCAGTTCCAACATGTGATTAAACGGCTACCTTTGCTGACCAGGTGGTCGTGACGCTTTTCATCAAATAGAGACGTGAAGATCTCTCTCTGTTTGACGAGCTCAGCCGTCAGCTCCTCCTTCTCCTCCGATTCTGGCATTTTCTATAAAAAAATAAATAAACAACACAAAAATACAACTTCTGTCAATCATCTGGGCACTCCAGGCAAAGCCAAGAAAGTTTGTTCTGAGAGCTCAAGTCATTTCTTACCTCGATTTTTTCCTTCTCTACATTCAACCCATCAAATATATTGATTTTCAGCCTTTCCCAGAAATTGAATCCATCCACCTCCAAGCCCGGAGTTCTCTCCAGCCACTCCTGGAAAAACAGCCCAAAGGGTTTATGGCGTTTATGCTCTCTTCAGTAGTACATTACCTTCTCCAGGGCAGGGACAACAAAACAAAACCCGGTTAATTCACTTAATGATGTAAAAAGACAAACCTCAACCAGTTTTAGAAGCGTTGGCTCCTGCTCTGTTTGGAGTAACGTCTTACTGTCATGACCTTTGAAATTGTCCCTATAATGACGTCTGTTGTATGGGACCCTCAGGTTGTCTGGCACGCCGATTTTGTTCTCCAGAACCCGAAACTGAAGGCTCTGGAAGCCAGAAGCTGCAGACAGGTATTCTCTGTGTGCACAAATACGCATTTAGATGCACATCACTTGCTTTACGGGAGCAAACTATCATGAAGCAGCTCATCTTATAAAATATTCAGTGATGAAGTAGAGAGGGCTAGTTTCAGTTATTTATGAGTTTACCTAAAGTCAAAAAAGTCCAAGGCTGTCATTGTTTCCAGAACGGCAAACTGGTCGACCAGCAGCCTGAAGATCATCACGATCCTGTGTATGCGAGTGTTGACTTTGAGCATGTTGCGCTCGTCTCTGACCTGAAGAGAAGGGAATTGATTTAGTGAATACTGATTACAATAAAACCTTCAAGGAAACCCTGATGAGACAGGAAGAAAAACTGTTATGGCTTAATTAATTCTTTGTTATTTTTATAATTGTTCAAATGAATGCTTGTAGAGGAGCAGGGGAGCAACTTTGGCTTTGCTTTAAATAAAAAAATGAGCATAATTTATGAATATACATCTATTTTTTATGACTGAACTGTGAAGCTGTGATGATTAGTTTCCTTTTAAACCAGCTGAAGGCACAGAGATTTTGATTCTGAGCAGCGTTCAATCCCAAAAACCTATCATGTACTGCCTAAACTAAAGAACAAACTGTGTGCTCTTCCATGTGACTTACATGTCCACTGATGAAGATCTCCCGTACCGAGTCCAGCTCAAAGAGAATCTGTTTGAACCACAGCTCATACGCTGAGATGAAAATCAAAGCTTTAGGCATGATAAATACTTAGGTGTCGTATTTACAAAGTAAACACATTCAAGGCTGAACTGGATCAGCTCCATCCAGGTAAAGATTCACAAACTCTGTATTTAACTTAACATTTTAATTAATCAATTCCCCTCAAATGTTGTAAATAAAGCAGATTAAAGTTAAATTAAGCGCTTGGTTTTAACATTCAGACAAAATGAAGCTACATGTTTACCTTGATGTGTGACGATAAAGAGGTGCTCATCGTGGATCTTATTGCCCTTCAGTTCACTTTGTAAAACCTGGGCTGTGGTTATTTTGTCAAGCTGAGCATTGAAAAGAAAAGAGAAAACATGTAAAACACAATACCCATCCCCCTTAAAGAAATAAATAAAACACTAAATAATAGCCAATTACAAATATATGTTTGTCTGGTGTTTTTACCTGCAGATAGTCTCCGTAGACAACTCCTCCTTTGCTGGCCTTGTTTACCCCTTCCTGCGAGGAATCCTCATCATCCTCTAAAGGAGGTTTAATTTTGAATAACCTTGAAAATAAAACAACAGAACATTTTAGTTAATCGCTGTTTTTCATTAGTGGGATTAGACTATAACAGGCATCTGTTTAAAGAATGTGAAAACAGAACAAAAATCCTCAAGAGCACTAATTTATGTGTGACAGCCGTCTGAACCTACAAATGCCTCTTCTCAAAGTACGGACATTCACTCATGACCTATCTGTGTCTGCTGCACCAAAGATGTGTTTTCCTTCGTGGACTAATATTTACTAAAATGCCCTTCAATGTGGTCCATGTTTTTAAAGATTCAACTTATCCAATCAGTTACGTACCTGTAGTCGCCATCCGGCCCGCCTCTATTTGTCCCATGTGCTTACTGTTTACCCTTAGCCCTGTCTACTTTCTGGACTTTGTTTTACCGCACCCCAAAAAAAAAAAAATCAGGATCTATTTTTATTTATTTAATGAGAAAAAGTTAAAGTTAAACAGTTACTTGTTAGTTAAACAATGAACAAAGTTAAACAATAAACATGTTTAGAGGAAAATCCACCCATCTGTCCATTTTTGTCCGCTTTTATGGGGTCGGGTCACGGGGGCAGCAGCCTAAGCCGAGAGGCCCAGATTTCCCTCTCCCCAGCCACTTGGACCAGCTCTCCTGGGGGAATCCTAAGGCGTTCCCTGGCCAGCAGAGAAACAGCCCCTCCAGCGTGTCCTCGGCCTTCCCTTGGGTCTTATCCCGGTTGGACGCCACGTGCCTGAAACCATACCAGATGACCAAGTCACTTCAGCTGGCTCCTCTCGATGTGGAGAAGCAGCTCTACTCCAAGCCCCCCTGAGCTTCTCGTCCTATCTCTGAGGGAGAGCCCAGCCACTCTGCGGAAAAAACAAATTTTGGCCACTTGTATCCGTAATATTGTTCTTTCGGTCACTACCTAAAGCTCGTGACCGAAGGTGAGGGTAGGATATAGATTGACCGATAAATCGAGAACTTTGCCTTCTGGCTCAGCTCTCTTTTCACCACGACTGACCGGTACAATGCCCGCATCACTGCAGACGCATCACCAATCCGCCTGTCAATTTCCTGCTCCAGCCTTCTCTCGCTCGCGAACACAACCTCAAGATACTTAAACTCCTCCTTGAGGCAGGACCTCATCCCTGATCCCGGAGAAGGCATTCCATCCTTTTCCGACTCAAGACCATGGTCTCGGATTTAGAGGAGCTAATTCTCAACCCAGCTGCTTCGCACTCGGCTGCAAACCTCAGTGAAAGCTGAAGAACATGCTCTGATGAAGCCAACAGGACCACATCATCTGCAAAAATACAGACCTGTTCCTTAGGCCATCAAAATGGATCTTCTTACCACCTTGGCTGGGCCTAGAAATCCTGTCCATAAAAGTTATGAACAGAATCGGTGACAAAGGGCAGCCTTGGCGGAGTCCAGCTCTCACCGTGAACGAACCCGACTTACTGCGGTGCCTAAGAGCTCGTATGAAGGGGCCTGGTAACCCATACTCCCCACTTCCCCAAGGGACACTGTCAAACGCCTTCTCCAAAATCCACAAAACACATGTAGATTGGTTGTGCGAACCCTCACGCACCCTCCAGGACCTCCTAAGGGTATAGAGCTGGTCCAGTGTTCTATGGCCAGGACGAAACCCAAACGAAAATCCAATATAACTTCATTTTTAAAGCACCATAAAAACCATGGAGGACAAAAGTGCTTACAGTAAAGTATATAAACAGTGCGTATGCACGTATGACAGCTTTTGTGCAATTGAAAACAGATACCCATTAAGCAGCACAGACGTGAGCTAAAATACTAAAAACAACTGAAATCAACAACCATACAGCTTAAAGCAACAGTAAAATAGATTAAAGACTAGAAAAACACAGACATGTTGGCTAATTAATGTTAAGAAGAAGAAAATATCATTTCTATAGCGCCTCTCAAGATAAAAATCTCGATGTGCTTCACAAAAACAAAAAATAAAAAAATTTAAAAATATAAAAAAACATTTAGAAAATCTTTAAAAATATATTTAAAATGAGCAAAAATAAGCAATTGCGATTTAAAAGAAAAAATGTTAAGAAAGAGAGAGAGAGTGAATAGGAAAGAGGGAAATCAGTGGATCCTGAGGAAGGATAGGTGGGGAGAGCAGAATAAAGAGAGAGTGGTTGAAGAAAGTCATACAAAAAACTTAGCTGTGCTAATTGATTTTGAATAAAACTTTATATTTCTGTACTATTTGAAGTGTACACACACAATACACTTAGGAAATTTCTCAAATGTTTTTGTCTTGTTTACAGAGCATCTATTTGCACTCAGGTCTTTGATGTTTGTGTGTGTGTGTGTGTGTGTGTGTGTGTGTGTGTGTGTGTGTGTGCGCGTGTGTGTGTGTGTGTGTGTGTGTGTGTGTGTGTGTGTGTGTGTAGCAACCTGAACCTGGTTACATAAGAGAGAGGGGGCAGTTTTTCTTGTATTTTATCCTTTTTTGGATCTGTTGGCATGGACTGCCTACAAACCTTCCCTCATAATAGAAATAATAAAACTATTTCAGTTCTGTGAATTTATCTTAATGTTAACTAAACGTACATTATGTTTTTATTGTAAAAATCTATTGTAGTCAGCGGCAAAATCATATATTTCCCAATTTTTCTGTGATGCTTCTCGAAATCACTCTTACCAATCCTTGGGTCATTGCCTTGTAAATATTTGCTACCGGGTTAATATTTTCTTCAGCTCTTCATTGAGGCTGAGCGGTTCTACTGCTGTTCTGGGAATTGCCCTTATTGTTTTCAAAGAAAAGCTTTTTTCTCTGTAAACTCGGTAAACGTTGTATACGTACCCTAGGAGCGTTGCTGTCCACAGCTTGTTGAATGCTGAAATGTCACTCTTGTTAGACCTGTAATACCAGCTGTCATACAAAGTTCATGGGAACTATTTGTTTGTTTTCAGTCACAGGTGGCGCGTTCTGGGGAAAATAATGATAGTCTTGCTGCTCCCCGCCACCTGAGCCACACCACAACACACTGCCAGTCACAACAGGCTGATTCCTTTTGAAGAACGGCTCGACCAGCTTCATCAGTGAAACCTAAGAAGCTGTAGTCCACTCTCTAAATCTCCCAGATCATTAGCTTTGTTTTTCCTCTTTGTGGACTTATCGAGTTGAGTCCTATCAGCATGTGCAGCAGTCCTAAGAAGATCAGAAGGATGATAACAAGCAGCTATTTCTGAATTGGGACAGGGTACGAGCCCAGAATGAGGAGCAGCGGCAGCCCCCAAATGCTTTGTTCTTGTTCCCATTTAGCCGGGATGAATAGGACTCTTGTGGGGAGAGGTTACGATGGAGGAAGTCTTTCAGATGACATGACACGATCACTGTAGATTTTTTGAGATTTAACAAATTTACCCATCAGACTGATCGGACTCAGGTGACATCATGAGTCATCTTCGAGGGCTGCGTGAGTCTCTGATTACAAGAAAGCATGGATATGTCCTGGTTTATATATATATATATATATATGTTTGTTTTTGCTCTTACTGTGATGTGAACCCCGAGTATAACTGTCCACCATCCTTGTCCTTGAATTCTGCTTTCATAGTTTCCAGCTGCAGGCACGTTTAAAAAAATCCCCTTCATCGCGAGTCTTCCTTGCCGTGAGCCATGGTTTGTGATCTTAATATAACTTTTAATCATTCTCAGCTCTCAGCTGTCATCTTAAATGTCGACATTCTTATCACTGAAGTGTTTAAAAAGACGATTAGTTTGGCATTAAAACCAAACAGCAAATGCATCAGCATGTGACCTGCCTACGTGTGCCTTCTGCTGCTTTTATACTGGCAGTAATTATCACAAAGGAAAATAAAATAATCCCCATCCAAATAAAACCTTTACTGGACAGTTTTCTAAATAACGAACTCTTTTGATTGTAAGTGCTTTATCTCATGTTAGGTGTGGTGGTTTGCAGCACCTTCCCTCTGCAGGAAGACACTATTTGAGTTTTGCTTTAGGCATTTTTAATTATTTCCATGCCCACACAGGTGTTTTTGTCTCTCCGGGTGAAACTTACTGGTTTGAATTGTGTAGGACAATCAGGAACAGCCTAAGACAAAACTCTACTGGAATTGTTGCATAAGTACCACGGTGGAATATAATTGCCCACAAATACTTGGAGGTAATACAATTTAAGCTGGCGTGAATAAAACAACTCCTGTGAATGATTCTGTGGTCACATGTGAACAGAGTCTGGTTGTGTCTCTGAACATCTGCTGTTCACACACTGTCTGTGTTTTTAGAGAATTTTACTCAGGTTTTATCCAGCATTTTGACACCTCTGTGAAAAACATTAGCAGAAAGAAGTAGTGGGTGTTTTCTTTTACAATAAGTCGTCAGGAAAAGTTTTGTTTTGAGAGGGCAAGAGGAAAAAAAGTCACAAATTTGTACAAATCTGCTAAAAATGTTAACAATAATTTAATCCTCTGTTTTCATCCCTCCCACACCTTTGAATTTAATTATTTTTTCTCTGCAAATTTGGATGAATATGTGCCAAAAAATAATCAGCAAGCTGTTTGAGTAAAGCAAAGCTGAATAATAAAATCACACTCACGTTTTGTGCTTGTTAAAACCTAACAGGATTAGGTACACTAAGAATGAACACGGCTTCATTGATAGACACATCAAAATAGACAGGTGTTTGAATTTGCATGTAGGTTAATTGTTAAGTCAAAGATAAATTCGATTTTTATTTCTTCAATCCCAGAAACATCATTTGAAAGTGACATATTTTCAGTGTTTAAATGCTTTTGCTTCAATAGTTCCTTCCCACAAGCACACATCTGTGGTGTCAAACACGGCAGGCTCATAATATTCAGTTATATCCTAAAAAATGTAAAATCAATACAAGCTAATGATTGAAAAAACAAAAACATTCTGTCCTGCCTGTGACGTTCAGATTAAATTGCAATCCATATTTTTAATAATGTGGACCTTAAAAAGATTTTTATATCTATAGTAATATAGAACTATGGCTGTTTCAGATACTTAAAAATACTTTAAAACATTTTAATTTCTAGAATAATCTTTGTTGATGAGTCAGTTTTAATAATACATCGTTATTTCAGTGTAGAGATGAAATATTTATTTGCTGTAACTTTTCTAAAATAACCTAAATGGAACCCAAAAATAAACATCAACCTCCCAAAAATAAATCCAAAGTATCAAACGACAAAATAAAGCACATGGTGCAACCAACGTCTTCCTTTTGGTTGATTTAGCCACAAGATGAAAGTTTTTGCAGAATAATTTCATGAGTGCTTCCATTCTATACCTTTACCATGAAAATGGAGTTCAAGTGAACTATAGAACATGCTCAGTTTAGATTTATATATTTATTTCTTGCTCTGATGCGGTTTTTGCACAATTCTAAAGTCTTTGATGTTGTTGCTAAGAAGTGCCATCCTTTTTATATAAGCCTTTGAAGTAGGTCTAGTTGCAGTGCACAGTGAGATACCACACTGTTTCTTGGCAGTACTTGTGTGTGGTCACAGCGAGACACCGCTGCAGCACTGTGGTGTATTTTAATATTACTTACTTAACTATTCCATTTGATGTCCCTTTAAATCCACCTGGAAAATCTAGAAGTGATTGTTTGGCGCCCAACATCTGGGCCACCAATCACAAGAATATGACTTGAATGATAGAGCTCAAAGCAACAACATGTTCTGACCTTTTTCGAGAGGACGCCATTAGCTGCAGTTGTATTAAGTGAGCTACAGTGTGATGCATGGATCAAGAGTCAGTTAGATGACTCTCTGAACTATGCACTGTGTGCCACTAGAGAGCATCAGAGGACCTAAATGAGGGCTTTGCATTTGGTATAGCTGAGCCTAAATTAGAATCCCCCCCCCCCCCCCCCCAGTGCATGCTTGCTGTGGTTTGAAGCTCTTTATATGGAAAAATCAAAAGAAGCGGGAGTTTCTGTAAATTCATTGCGATTCTAATCTGAAGCAACAATAAGCAATGGCTCGCAGGGTCACTTTAATAATACATAGAAGTATAGTTTGTGTTTGAGGGAGGGCAGTATGTTCAACTCCAGTCTGATGGTGACAGTGAAGTGGCTCGGATGAGCTGCGTGTCATAAGATTTTAAAGAGAACTATAATAACATGCTCTGTGGGACGCTTGGCTAGCAGCGAGGGGGTCAAAAACAACAGCATAAAACAACCTTTGAGCCAAGAAGACTCAGCTCCCATTTGGTTTGAAAATGCCGTTTGAAGTACACCATGAAAAAGAGACCACTTTATTATGAAGGGGTTGTTTTCAGAATTATGCATTCCATCACTGATGCTTTTCGGTGCTTTGATGAATAACGCTTGATGATTAGTGGGAATTCTGATCACAAACCAAACGTCATTGAGGAAATAAGAAACGATGCAATCAAAGGTTCACATGACTCGGAACTAAAAATATTTTGTACAGCCCTCCTTGAGTACCCTATTTTTCAGTCAACAGTCTACATTTCAGGTCAATTACACTCAAAATTTCTTCAGCTACAATTTACACACTTCAGCTTAGAAAAAGGCTTCAAGCTGCTGACTTCAAAGCTGCTTTTGTCTTCCTCAGGATTGTAGCTCAAATGATGTCTTTTCAGTCATTAATGCAATTTTTGCTGCTTATTTTATTATTTAAATACTCTTGGTATTCATATGTCACGACTTTGATAGACTTTATTTGATGATTTCTAAATTAGTGTCTGATTAGCCCAGCACTTAACATGCTTTTGCTTTTTTGAAATTTACTTGAAAACTGATTAATTCATTTGTAAAAGAAAAAAAAACTCTCAGATACTGAGAAGCAGCACATCCAAAAGAACTTAAAGTCATTTAAAATCACAAGATCAGAGTTGGGTTCTAAATTTGGGTCATTATTTTGTTTATGTAAGTTTTTCTCATTAAATATTAATGTTGATAAAATATTCATTCTTGGACAGTAAGCCAAGCCAAAAAGAATTATGCCCAATAAATGTTAAATTTAGTGGAAGTAATAGCTGACTGCACATCATGGATGCATCACCATTTGTAAATACTTGCCATTACATGATCAGCGGCTCAGAGAACGGTAAAGAAGCCAAACATTCGCCCTACTTCTACAATCACAGCTTCAAAACAAACAAATCCCATAACCGATGCCTGAAAAAACAACCCCCCAATATAGAACGATTGAAATTAAAACCAGCTTGACTTTATTTATGTATAAACACAACATAAATTACTGTTAATGACTTGTACAGACGTATATTCAGTTTCCTAAAAAGAAACAAAAAAACTGCATAAAACTCTTGGATAATTTACAAAACATGGTGTCCCTGTGATATCCAAGACACACCTGTGCTGCTCCACATCTTCAACCGAGTTCATCACACTTTTCCTGCACTTTTTTTTCCCACAATTACTATCAGGTATTTAAACATCTTTTCTTCCCCAAAAAAGCATCTCAAAGAGAATAAGACGGTTTGATGTTTACAGTGCTAAATCTGGTATACATAGTGGTTGTTTGGTGAGAATATTTCAAACTTCAGAAGTCTCTGATTTAAAAAACAAATATCTGCTCAAGAACGCTGCTTGCTCTTGGAGTGTGAATCCATGAGCCTGATACTTCCACAGAAGTGCAGATATGCATAATGTAAACATTTCCTCTTTTCCCAAAACACTCCATTAAGCCAAGCTTGTCTTGATGAGAACATAAAAACAAACATAAAACACCTATATAAGCCCAGTGTCTTGTCAAAATCATAACTGTTCCTCTGCTTAAGTGTCCAGAGTCCAGCAGGCTTGTGCTACAGAGGAACTGACCTGTAATTGCCATGTTAAGGCTTAGTGTAGTTGTACATTTATTCTCAAGTCTTTCAGTCACAATGCACAGCATTGCTTTTTAACCTTTTTTCTATCCTTTCTTTTGTTTTGTTTTTTGTCTTTTTTATCTTTTTATTCACTTTTCTTTTTACAAAAAACAAAGCAACACCCAATGTACACACATCAGCAGCATTCAGCTGCTTTAGATTTGTCCACTTTTACATCTCTACCAAAACAAAGTCTCTTTGGCAGACAGTGCACCTCAAATTGTTACCTTTTCCCAATTTCACTTTGCCGTAGAAAATGGATGTTATTAGAATTATCTGCTAACTCCGGGTACTGCTCGATGGTTAGCACATAGTATCCATCATACCCCAAGACCTTTCCACTACTGAGTAGCTGCCTCTTTTCTCCTTCTGTCCAGGGGCGAACCCCTTCCTCGCCATCTCTTACTCTCTGCTGCTCCCGGGCCCAAGCACCTGCTAGGGCACGCTGGCGCGCCAGCTCGACAACACGCGCTTTCTCCTCATCCACCGTGGAGCCATAGCGGATATGAAAAGCCAGAGCACCAGCACGAATCTCCACATCTGCAAAACGGCGAGTCCGACTGTCCATAACAGTAGTGGACTGAGACACTGTCACATTGACGCCATTCTCTAGGGTCTTGTGCCCACTAGTGAGGTGCAGTGCAGCAAGGTCAGAGTCGGGAAGGCCTGGCTTGACAAAGTAGTGTGTGTCCCGTCCTTCGATGGTGAAATGGAGGTCTTCTAGATAAAAGGCGTTGTTAAGGATTGTTGCAACCTTAATGCAGTCCTCACTCGCCACGTTGAGTGTATGAGTGTGGACACTGCCCTTGTAGATGGCAAACATAACAGCTCTTCCAATCGGAGACTTAGCAGCCGAGAACCAGAGCCAAGACTTTTCACCTCTTCGACCTCGGGTGAGGTGGACCTCTGGCAGCCGCTCGAACGACAAGAGAGAATGTGCTTGTCTGGTTACTTCCTGCTGGACCCCAGAGATAGACTGTAGGAAAAGTGCAGTGAAACGTTAACGCATTAACATGGCAGAACCTGACTCTCCAGGCCATTTAGAACCAGCTACTGCTCTGCTGCAGAGGCTTTTTTAAATGTCCCAACTTAGATAATGGTGTTTTTTTAAGTTGTATTCTTAGAAGTGAAGTAGATCCCTGGTGACAAGTTCTTTTTGTGTTAAAATTGCATCAAAAACTTACGGTAACGGTAGCATCACAAGATTATTACTTACTAAAGTTAGGCAGAGAAAAGCACTATATAATGCATTGTTTGATCTATTATGCAAATAAAGAGTCATTTGTGTTGAAATGCTACGAACAAAGTTCCAGTTAAATTAGGAGTAAGTTACTTCAAAAAACTAAGGTAAAACTAAAACAATTAAGAAAATTTTATTTTTGTGTAGACCCTCTGGATTAGTTAAAGAGCAAGTCACCCCCAAATCAACTTTTTTTTGCTGATAATCTATATAAATGAGTGTCTAATCGTGCTGTAGACACATGCATTCAGTAATTTGACACTTTAGTGCATCTTAGTCAATATTTAAATATTCTGCCTAAAACTGTCAGTGTTGCACTGTTGTCAGGTAAAAACTCTGCACTGCATTTGAATTTAAATCTGCCACCACTATTGGCTAAGAAGTACACTATGATGTTAGCTGGTACATTATGAGGCCACAAGGTTGTTGTGAGCCTGTGTGTATTTGTTAGCAGCTCCACCCTTTCAGTCTGCCATGCAACAGCATTTTCTACATGTTTCAAACAGGAAGTTGGAGTGGAGTAAGACTAGTAGGGGGTGACTTGCTCTTTAAAGACTATTTTCTTACTTTTCAGCTGATGTGTACTCTTGTGTGTGTGTGTGTGTGTGTGTGTGTGTGTGTGTGTGTGTGTGTGTGTGTGTGAGATTGTAATTTCACTCACAGGAAGGTCATCCCAGAGCTGACTCTTTGATAGTTCATAAGATGGCATGCTTAAATCAAATTTTGGAACTGGATACCCAGGAATGGTGTTGTGAAGATGAAACCCAAATGTCACAAGCCAGCTGTTCACATCTGGAAAAAACAAAAAAGGGTTGAAACATCCAGTTAAACAAAGTTTGAAGTTGTGACTTGTATTCTTTTGCTCTTCAGTTGTAATATGTGCTTAAATATATGTAATTGGCATGTATGTGTTGTCTAAAATACTAGTGTGTCCGGTGCAGCATCTCTTACCTGCGACATATTCTTTTAGTTCATGGACTTTGCTGATGGGGTTATTATTTCTGAACATGTATAGATTAAAAGGAGCTGGTTCTTTGGCAATGTTTTTCCAGGCAGATATATCTGGAATAGTCCACCTGCCAGACATTATGTCATAATCCTGTTCCCCAAAGTGCAGTAGTTTTGTCAAAGGATCATACAGTCCTCCGTGAAATCCAAGCACAAGCTGGAAGTCTGGGTTCGAGTCAAAATAGATCTCGCCGTATGCAGTGTACTGGAGCTGTTTGACCAAAAGGCCATTGCTTGTGAAGACAGCCAGCGGTGTGCCAGTGTTGTCACAAGCAATGTAGAATTCTTCCCCACTGCTGATTTCCATAGCAAACAGATGGCCTTGAAGGTCATAGTAGAAGGAGGTTATCTCTGAGCTGGAGTGGTTGTATATGTGAGTTATTCTTGCTGGATAGCTCAGGTCTGCATAAAAGTACTGCAGGTGCTGGCCCAAGCTGGTTTTGGTTGACACTCTACGACCAAGCCCATCATAGCGATACTGAATTGTCCAGCCACTGCTCTTGCTGTAGACTCGCACCAAGAGTCCTTTGGAGTTGTACTCAAAGATCTCTGCCCCTCTCTGACGAAGAAAACCATCTTCATCCATTCTGTACTGGATATCACCAAGGCGAGTGATGCGATCTCGCAAGTCGTAACGCAGAGGCAGAAGCCTGGCACTGTTTCCAGCATTCAGCAAGTATAGATTTCCATTGAGGTCATAAGTGTAGCGCCACATTACTTTGTCATTCAAGTATACTGTCTGGAGTTGGCCATCCACATCATACTCATAGCTGTACTTAGTGGTGTTGGCGAAGGGGCCGATCTTGAGTTCTCTCTTGATTACTCTGCCAACATCGTCATATTGGAATGTAATCCAGTACATCAGTGAGCGAAATATTTCATACTGAATCTCTTTGATACGTCCATGTGCATCAAAGTGCTTTGTGTATGTCATGACAGCAGTAGATATGATCTGATTTATATCATAGTAGATTACTCCAAACTTTCCAAACTGCTCAATTTTTCCTGAGATGTCATCAAACTGGTATAAGTCGATGGGAAGTGGTGTTTCATTGATAACACCTTGGACGCTAGTGACACGCAGGCTGCTGTCATAGGTGTAATCAAAGCGTGCATTGACCATGCCATCTTCACTGAAGCGAAAAATCTGACGGTCCACCAGTGGGCCCACTTGCCGATAACGAATGGAGCAGATAAAACCTTCATTCTGCAAATTGACAGTCTTAAGCACACCTGCTGTCTCATCGTAGGTGAAGCTGACCCTTGTGCTGTCATATAGGATCTCAGATAGCTTGTTCTGTCGGCGGTACCTATACAGGACTCTACGGCCTGTTCCAAGGTGAGCTAATCTGAGTAGGAGACCGTCTTCACTGTAGTCCACTGCTACTGAGGCGTTGCTCTCCGGTGGGTGATAAAGGTTTCTGTAGTAACCCACTGAACGGATGGTCTGCATGCTGTAGCGGGCTACGCTTGGCATAGTGACAGCTGAAAGCCGTTCGAGGGAGTCAAACTCAAATATGTACTGGCGCTGACTGTGGAGCAGGAGGACCATAGACTAGAGGGAAAAAGAACAAAATACTTAGTCGCACTTTTGCACGTCTACATAATTCATATGTATAATGCAAGGCAGAGTGTAGAATTTTTCTGTTTTGAGAAAAGGTGAAAAAGTGCATTTTAAAAATGTAGGAGACAGAGAGGAGTGACACTTTTGAGACCTCAAGCTACCAGTTCTGTTGCACATTAACTAGAGTATTCATACAGAATTACACAGAAAATATAGATCATTAAATAAACCTGTTAAAAGTAACAGAGCTTTTCCAAGAGCATTTACATGCACGTGTGAAAGACTGAGTACTCTATTAAATGTTCTTCACTTTAATGAAGATTTTTTATCTCCTTGTAAAGAAAGTCTTGTTTTTCTCCTGTTTCAATTTAGAGAATATGCATTTCAGAGTGTGGTCTGTGTCACAATGCCCCCCCCGCCCCCGTTAAACTGCCATGCCCAGTCATCCGTTGCAATGCTGAAGTTTCCTGTGCTTCCTGAGCCCCTTGTGTTACTTATGTCAGTGTTCACATGGCCTTTCTAGGTCACACAGTGACAGGAAGGAGACAGAAGTGACAAAAAAAAAACAATCTTTGCATGTTTTATGTTGTTGATCATCCCTGTGCAGTCTCATGAAAAACACCTTACACGAAATGAAGGGAATTATACATCAGAGGTTTGTTTGTTGACATGTAACAGCAGAAGGTGACAGTTTTGATCAAAGGGTGTTTAACAAATGCCTACAATTTTTATTTTAAGTGTATAAAGGTTTTAGCTAACTCATTTATATTGCAATTCATAGCAAAAATAATAAAATAAAGCTAGTTTAAACATGGTTTTTTTTGTAAATTTTAGTTCCGCTCTTCTAGATTTACCTTTTTAATAATATAACTATTTATAATAAAAAAAACACAAAATAAGCAAGTTTAATAAACAAATGTGTTTGAAAATATGTGAATTTAATTAGTCCTTCAGAAAAAAATGGTTTGTTACAGGGACATTTAATCTAATCTGAAGCTGCATATAACCAATGATCAATTATTGAATAGATTTACAAAACGTCAGACTTTATTATTTACATTTTCTTTATATCAAAATGCTATTTTATTAAGTTTCACTTTATTCTTTTGCCTGACTTTAACCATAAAACATACATAAAAATAAAAATACATAAAAACATAAAAGAAAATACACAGAAACTAAAATGAGCCCTTATGTTATCAACATTATCTTTTGAGACTATCCAAAATGACTTTCTTGATATTTTAGTGTTTAAAAAAACTAGTATTTTCTCAAAAATCCAGCAGGGGGTGGTTTCAAAACACTTTGATTCTTTTTTTTTTTTGGGGGGGGGGGGGGGGGGGGGGATTACTTAATGTTATTTTAATGTGTTATGTTGAGAAGTTGTGTCATAAATACTAATCTTAACCTATTTTCTCTCAAATTCCCTTATTTTAGCATAAAAAAGGTAATTTGGAGCATGTACATGGAGGGGTATGCTTTCTAATTTAAAGCTGCCACCTATTTAAAATTATATCTTTATTTCAAAGGCCTAAATGGTGATGACATCAAAAATCCAAACCAATCACCAACCAGTTGCTGACTAATTTGATTTTTTTAAATCTCTTTGAGTTGTATTACTTTTACTATTTATTTTTAACAAACTCACAGTACTAGGAATTTACAGAGCTCATTTAACTAATCTAAACTGACAAAGGGATTGCATTTTTAAACAAATACATAGCTGCAATAAAAAACAATGTCACACAATTTCTATAGGGTGTTTCTCGTGGTCAACTTTAGATCTATCACTTAAATCTCATTAAGGCCTTATTCATTTAAACAACTGTGTCTTACATACAAAAACAATAGGATCAGTACAGTTTAGATGTACCTTGTGAGGATAAAGATTAGCCTGCTGCACAATCTATCCCATGTGTTTTTCTGCTGGTCATGTTATTTTCTCACCTGCTCAAGGTAGGTGTAACTCCATATCTTCCCATCTGCAAACACCCTGGAAATCAGGCGACCTTGGTTATCATACTCAAGCCTCTCAGTGGTGGGACCTCTCTGCAGGGCACTGATTTGTCCACTGCTTGTGCGGCTCACATTTACTGGCAGTAGCTTACTGCTGGGCACCCACAGGACCGGATGGCCTGCGGTGTCATATATAATTTTTAACAGGAACTTTCTGTGGTCATCGTAAATCTTCTCTGTCCTCAGGGTGCGATCGTAATCAACAGAGAGAATGTTCCGTCCATTCACCTATGGGTAAGATTTAAGAACTGGGTTAGATAAAAAATAAGTCCTCAAAATATACAGACTTATAGCAATGGCACTAATAAAAACATTCAGCATCAAAACATAAAAACAAATATATATGATCAATATAGAACTGCAGAAAGGAAAATGAAAAAAGTTTGATTTGATATGGTAGTTTTGTTTACATCTAATATAATTTTACATGTGTAAAGACCTGCGCTGGTTGCGTTTGTCACAAAGATTTGCACTCCCTTCTCGAGCCCTGTTAAACTTAACGCCACTCTGTAAATTGCTCAGGTACTCTGAAATCAAAAGCTCCTAAATTTGGTGGTGACAAAAATTATTGAGTACACGTAACCACCCATGTTCATAAAATCCCATAAATCATAAATCTGAGTCAGAGTCTGGGAAGGAGTCAGAGGAGGCGGACTTATGTAAAGTACTAGAATATTGATGACCTTCTAAATCAGGGTAAAGTGTTGTGGCTGATAAATTTGAACTCAAGGAAGGAGAAGGAAATATATATTCCCAAGGTTAGGATTACCGTTGTACTGGTGTATAAATAGAATCCTGAACACACTGGATTTCAGACTCTCAGACTCACTTTGGTTATGGAAGAACTGCTGACATGAGTTTACAGTTGATAATGTAATCACATTACAAATGTGTAACGTTCACATATTACATGTACGGTGTTCTGGAAAAGTATTTTCTTTAAAACTTTAAAAACAAAGACAACCTGAGTACATAATGCAATTTTCAATTCATGATTTCATCTGTGGAAGAAAAAAGACCACATGAAAGAGGCATTGACCCACTTATTACATCATGAATTAACTTTGACTATTCTGAAAGCTGAGTTGTTTCACTAGCCTTGCCCAGGCCAGACCGTGGCATAACTATTTTACTATAGCCTCTTTTAGAAAACAATATCTACAATTTGCTGCAACGCTGAGCTGGCATCTGGGAGTCTTAGGTCATCTATAAGTGGTCAGACTGTGGCGGTAATGTGGCACAATCGTTTCTTTTTACTAAATATATGCAATGCCGCAGACTTCCGTTTATCTTGGACCTAACATACTTTTCATTGTGATCGAAGCCACACTCATTAAATGTTTTTAGCAAGCCGTAACAAGCTGCTCCTAAAGGTGCATTTCCTCCACAGTCCCTGTAAATCACTGTCTTAAAGCCATACTCTGCAACTTTTTCATATTTTTAAATAATTTTGTTGAGCCAGTATTAGCTAAAATGACCCTTTCCAGGGTTAATGAAAGGCCACCAGCCCCTATCGCCCCCTGTGGCCAGAATATTCCACTTGCAACGTCAGACTGGCGGGCTGGGGCCTCATTTATCAAGCTTGCTTACGCAAAAAACGGGGTCGGAAAACTGCGTAAGCAACTTTCCACGCAAACTTTGGGATTTATGAAAGAAAACTTTGTGGAAAAATGTGTGGAACTTTAAGTAGACTAAGGACCTTGCTTACGCACATTTTGGACATGGAGAGCACCTGCAGTGCTGCTGCTGAGAAGGATAATATTATGAAATCTTGCAACATTATCACTTGTACTGCTTCATTTTCACACAGAACAAGACCCCCCACACTCACACACGCACGCACGCACGCACACACACACGCACGCACACACACACGCACGCACGCACGCACGCACGCACGCGCACACACACACACACACACACACACACACACACACTCACGCACGCACGCACGCACGCACGCACGCACGCACGCACACACACACACACACACACACACACACACACACACACACACTCTGATGTAAGAAGGTACAGCATAATAGATTACACGTAACATTACTCTTTAACACTTGTTTTCATTGTGCCTTGATGTGAAAACACATGCTCAAAAGAAAAGTCAGCTAGTGACAGTTATCCATTTTTGTACGTTTTCATTGCATTTTTTTATTTCTTCTTTGGGAAACTCTTTGAGTCACCTAATTCATTAACAAATCAGTAGAGGAATAAGTAATTAGTTATGTAAAATCCTTTGTTTCTCTATGCTTGGCTGCATGGTGACACAGTTGGTTAGTGTTTGTGCCTTGCAGGAACAGAAGTCCTGGGTTACTCCTGGCGTGTGCCTTTCTGCATGGATTTAGCACAGTTTTGTTAAATACTCTCTATTTTCCTCCAGACCAAAAACACGGATGTTAGAGCGCCGTAAACTGAACGAGCATTGTGGGTTAGTGTGTGTGTGCTCATGTGAATGGCTGTTTGGCTCTCTGTGTGGCCCTGTGATAGACTGGCAACCTGTCCAGGATGTACCCCGCCTGTCGCTCAATGACTGCAGGAGATAGGCACCAGCTCGCCAACCCCGTGACCCTGAGCAGGATCAGGCAGGTATAGAAAATGGATGGATGGATGTTTACTGATGGATATCTTATCCAGTCTATCCTCCTATTTTATTTGAAACAAGCTGCTGTCATCAACATTTTATGTTACTGAAAAATGTACTTTCAATGTCTTTCCTAAAATTGCAATCTGTTAATAAACACGTTTTACCACATTTTTGGGGAAAGTGGGCAGCATCTGTCACTGCTCAATTGTGTCACATTCGCCACAAAGAAAAACAAAAAGGATTGAAAACAAATCCTGACGTACCCTCAGCTTGCGTCCAAACACGGTAACTTTCCCTCTGGCTTGTTCTTTGCGGAAACGCCACTCAACCAAATTTTGCCCAACTTCTCCTGGCAAGCTCATGTTGCGCCTGGCGACAGTCGGGTTGGCAGCTCCTGCTAGGATGTGAGGTTCTGTTTGGTAGTGTGTGTCCATCCCATTGGCATAGGTAATCCTCAGCGAGTTGTCAAAGCCCACTTGGTAGCTACTTCTACACTGGTCTGTTGATGTAAAAAACATAAACTAAGAACAGCCAAATATAATAGCAAACAGATCACTTGGGGTCACTAATGGGTGTACTTCAATAAGTTTATTAGCATCTCAAATAAGACAATTTCCAGCTGGAGAGAACTAACATGAATGATGTGAGCAAATAATTGGACCATCTGGCTGTGGAGGAGAGTAGAAACCACTTAGTAACAAGGTTGATGTGTCTCCCCGACTCTGACATGCCAGCCCACACTCCCAGAGAGTAATCATTTACACTGTCGGACCCTCTGAGTTGTAATGATACACGACTTTGGCTTACTCAACATTGCCCCGCAGACCCTTGAAGCAATGACAAATAGCAGCTGCTATATTCTGGAGATTAGTGACCAGGCCTTACCCTGAGACAGAGTGTAGAAGGCATGGACGGTTGAAGTATTCGTTGTGATGCTGATCTCCTCCTCTGTCAAGGAGCTTTCAATGTCCACCATCAAAGCACTGTATATATCTGTGTACAGGTTATTCACCATTCCAGTGGGGAACGTCACATTCATTAGCCGACCTTCACTGTCATAGCTGTTTGACAAAAAGAACATAAAATGACAAAGCATTTATATGTATGAGGGGCTCCCAGCACTACAATGCATTCAATTATCAACTCTTTTATACTGGAGTGGGACCACCGACTTTCTTGTAATAAAAATGTCACATTTTCTTTCCTGGATATCTTCCACTTCTAGGGTTTAAGTGGAGGGATGTCTGTAAAAATGACTTGGGCAAAATCCAAATATTTAAAACGGGTGAGTGACACATCTCATCAGCTCTCATTTTGCTCCCAAAAATAACAGACTTGTAATGAATTCCTTTTTTTTTTCTTGGGTAATGATTGATGTGTCATTATAATCGCAACTGGCTGCTTTGCTGTTCTGGCTGTAGTGAGGATATCATGCATGGAATAATGGGACATGACAGGGAATGACACAGAAGCAAAAAAAATAAATAAAAATCTATCACTTAAGAGGCCAGGCCACAAAAACAAGTTTGATCATAATACAAATTCTAAGCAGCATTTCGTTAATGAGACATAGTAGAATATTTATTTTGATCATACTAATTTAAAAACAACAAATGACCACCATCACTAGTAAAGCCAAAAAGTAAAAAAAGAAAACCGTAGCATCCTTGGTGGAGTTATTTAAGTCTAACTAGGCTATTTTACAGATCTGAGGCAAATTTTATATTTAGATTTCAATTACATGCACACCCTAGAGCAATTTGAAGGTAAGTATTGTTAGCCTTAATTGAATAAAGTTGTACTGCAGCAAGGCGATAAAGAACAAGCACAGGCAAAAGTATGACACAAATCCAAGGACATGCTTTTTTGTGTCTTTGCCAACAAGTTTAAGTTTAAATTAAAGAATGGAGTGCAGAGCGGCAATAGCAGTATTAATAAAAATGACAGGTCATAAGCTAAAACAAGGAAACTATTAATCTTTCAACTATAAGACCGTTAATAGTGTCTTCTCATCCTGGCGTGAGCGGTGTATTTTCCCATTCCTAAACATAATCTTATCTGCCTAAGCACAAATTACATCTGTTTACACACAGTGTGTATTAGTATGCACAAAGTGGGAGGTATATTTTAATTTGCACTGTGGGCTGGTTCTATAATGAGAGGGCCTAAATAATTTGAAACTTAAATCAATCAAACGTTGGCAAATTACATAAACAGCTCCACTGAATGATTTTGCCAATGCTAATTATACTTACTCATAGAAAGTTGTCCAGCCGATCTCTGATGTCTTTGTAGCCAGCAGGCCATTGTTACCATGGTATGTGAGAAGCACCAGCTCCTGGCCTTGTGCAGTGAGAGTTTTCAGTCCACCATTGGTGCCCATTGTCAGCCAGATTACCTGGTTGTCAGGGGCAACGATACGCACAGGCATGCGATTTGAATCTCTCCGTATTCTCAGAGTGTTGCCACTGCTGTCAGTAACAGCTGTGATGTCGTTCTCTGTGCTGTAGCTAAACGTGTACTTTAGATCACCAGTGAGCAAGCTCGCTGTGTGCTGATGGGTACCATTGATGTCAAATGCATACAGTTCTTGGGCGTCAGGAGAAGCCACTTCATATACGCTGCCACTGGAAGTCAAAGCTGGCCCATTTCTAGAGATGGCGCGGATGCGGATATTCCCCAGGTCTGCCACATAGAGAGCTCCATCTGGAGCTGCCACTAATGAAGACGGACCATTCAGTCTTGCATCTTTGGCATAGCCGTCTCCTGTCTGGTAACAGTCGCAGTTGGCATCAATCTTGCAGTCGCAGTCGGAGAGAGCTCCAGCCAAATGCGCTATCTCACCATCCACAGAAACCTTCCGGATCCTGCTCATCTTTCTCTCATCTGTCTCTGCTATGTAGATGGCACCATGGTAAGATATGGTAATGGAAACAGCAGACTCTAGTGGGGTTAAGTGCGCTCGTTGACCACCAGCCACGCCGCGCTCCAGTCCAGCCAATGGGCAGTGGATGGGCCGTCCCGCTGCGATGCTCACTTGACCGTTCTCTGTGATGCGGAGGACAATATTGTTGTCTAGTACGTACAGAGAGTTATCCATGGGGCTAACTGATAGATCCGTAGGCCACTCCAGAATCACCTGGAATACAGAATATAATTCGATTAGTGCATAAAATTACCACCTTAGCTTTATGGAGAAACAGTAAAAACAGTTGGTTTATACCAATATTAAAATATAAGCAGAATTGTAAGTTCATCTTACGTTGTTTTGTTGAGACTAATAGTGGTTTGTCTCAAAGTGCATGTTTCTTGCAGTTAGAAATGACTTAAAGGCATATGAAAGCTCTAGTGTGTCTCTAACAGCGTCCAAATGAAAGTAAAATGAATCTGTACAGCCTGAATCCAAAAAATGACAGATGATGTTGTGTCAAGAGTGAGGAAAAGATAAAGAGCCAGAGAGAATTAGGAACCCCGACCCTTTTCTAACCTCCACAAAGCTTTCTGTGAACGGCAGATTGTCAGTGTCAGATAGTGACAGAAGTGGTTACTCTGTTAGTCTGTAAATCCTTTGCTGGAAACGTGTAGAGGAAAGAACATTTCTAAAGCAAGCTGTTCTGATAAAATATTGGCCAGTCGTAATTTTTCATATCAGTCATGTAATTATATAATAATAATAAGTGTCCTGCCTCTTGTCCAGCTTAATTTGTTTCTGCTAATCTAAATAGAACACGAGTTGTCGCAAAAATAATATTGTTTGGACTTTCTAAACAGCTGAAATGTAATTATTGTTGTTGTAAACTGGTGAGATCTACAGGTTAATGGAGCAAGTTTATAATTTTAATTTGGAGTTGGAATACAGATGTCCATCACAAAAACAACGGAGCTGGTGCTTTAAGCCCTAATTATGTTCAATGACCAACAGTGGGTGGTTTAAAGCAGCTGCCATCAAATCTTGCCAAGTCAATTCTTTAAAACACCCCCAGTCCAGATGTTAGTGCCACAGCTGTTATGTCCATCTATTTATACAGTCTCAGGTTGACATTTGGAGTCTTGCATACAGTGTGGTGAACAAACAGTAGGCCCTTTTACATTTTTCTTCTGTTTTTGCCTTTTGCCACTCTTAAAGATACAATGTGTTGTTTTTATTGGTAATCTCTGAAGATATCCATCAAAATGTTGTGGAAAATGAATTAAATGATGCCCAGTTATTGTAAAATAAAGGAGCTTTGTAACATATAACTATAAAAATCCGGTCTAAAAACATAGTAGTGGGTCTAAGCCTTGTTGTTTCTTTCTACGGGAGCCTGTGAGGACAAAATGCATTTTCTGATTTGTAACAAATTATTACAAAACTTTCGCCATTCATAAACGTTTTTGTTTTACACATTCACCTCTTCACATGCTGCCAGTGATGAAAGGGAGTCTGCTTGTGATTTTGCTGGAGGTTATGCACTCAGGGATTTTTGACCCTAATGGTCATCCGTTGGTAAGGTCTTACCCAAACACAAAAATACTGCTTGCTTGCAATGATTTAGGTAAGTACTGCACCCTATTGCCAGAGAAATTACACACTGTCACTTTAAGTTTTTAACCTCAGCAAACAAATTTCAATTTCAGACAGATGGTTTTAGCAAATGCAAAATGCAGTTTTCAAAAAATTATTTTATTGAATTGTTAGAACAACAACAACAAAAACTATCCAAACCATCATGGCCCTAGATAAATGCACGAACTGTGATTAAAAATGTTATTCTAAAAGCTGAACCCACTTGACACACCAAGGCTTGCTAACTGCCACATCCGTAGAACCTCTCTGACAGCATAAAGTAGGCTAAAGATCTCAAAAATCCACACGTCACACATTACTACAGAAAACAAAACTATTATTAAAGTAGCACAATGACAAAATAACCCCGAATAATATCTAATGCACTGTAATACTCACTTCGTTAATGCTAAGGTGGTGGTTCATGAATAAATAGTGAGACAGAGATGGAGCAAATGGCATGTATGGAAGACAAAAAATAAAAAAATACTCCACCACTAACAAGCCAAAAGCAGAACTTTTTGGGAGGTTTTTGTCTCATTACTTCTGACATAACACTAACTGTATTTCAGAAAAAAGAACATTGCACCTACAACCAAACAAGACAGTGGTAGTGTGATGGTATGTGGCTTTAAAGGTTGAATATGGAAACATAAAATAAAAAGCT